GACTGTGAAGAGCTGCAGAAGGATCTCTGTGAGCTCCAGGAATAGTCGAAGAAATGGCTACTGAGATTCAATGTCACGAAGTGTAAGAGGATGCACCTGGGGCGTACCAACGGTAAGGAGGGGTATCTTGTGTTCCCCACGGGATGAAGAATCTGCTCTATTTAAAACAATGTGAGAAAGATCTAGGTGTGTATGTTGACAATGAGCTGAATTTCTCGGGCCATTGCGAGACGAAGGTAAATCAGGCAAAAAAAATTATTAGGTCTTATAAGAAGGTCGTTCAGAGAAAAAGTATATTTTGGTCAAAAATTAGATTTTGCTGAAAATCACAGTATGGGTACTCCTGAGGTTGCTTATTATGAATGTGTGGTCCACGATTCGATTGCAGAGTAAATAGTGGTCTAAATGACCCTTGAAATATTTTACTGACTTTTTCAATGCTAATTACTCATCAACTATGGGTTGGAGTGTGTGTGGGTGGTGTAGGGATCTGTGGGTGATGTAGGGGTCTGTGGGTGATGTAGGGGTCTGTGGGTGATGTAGGGGTCTGTGGGTGGTGTAGGGGTCTGTGAGTGATGTAGGGGTCTGTGAGTGATGTAGGGGTCTGTGGGTGGTGTAGGGGTCTGTGGGTGGTGTAGGGATCTGTGGGTGATGTAGGGGATCTGTGGGTGGTGTAGGGGTCTGTGGGTGATGTGGGGGGTCTGTGGGTGGTGTGGGGTCTGTGGGTGGTGTAGGGATCTGTGGGTGATGTAGGGGTCTGTGGTTGGTGTAGGGTGGTGTAGGGGTGTGTGTGGGTGATGTGGGGTCTGGGGTGGTGTAGGGGTCTGTGGGTGGTGTGGGGTCTGTGGGTGGTGTGGGGTCTGTGGGTGGTGTGGGATCTGTGGGTGATGTAGGGGTCTGTGGGTGATGTGGGGTCTGTGGGTGATGTGTCTGTGGGTGGTGTGGGGTCTGTGGGTGGTGTGGGGGGGTGGTGTGGGGTGTGTGGGTGGTAGGGGTCTGTGGGTGATGTGGGGGGTGTGAAGGGTCTGTGGGTGATGTGAGGGATCTGTGGGTGTGTGTGGGGTCTGTGGGTGATGTGAAGGGGTCTGTGGGTGGTGTAGGGGTGGGTCTGTGGGTGGTGTAGGGATCTGGGTAGTGTGGGGGTCTGTGGGTGGTGTCAGGGTCTGTGGGTGATGTAGGGGTCTGTGGGTGGTGTAGGGGATCTGTGGTGGTGTGGTGTGTGTAGGGGTCTGTGGGTGGTGTCAGGGTCTGTGGGTGATGTAGGGGTCTGTGGGTGAGGGGTGATGTAGGGTCTGTGGGTGATGTAGGGGTCTGTGGGTGGTGTCAGGGTCTGTGGGTGATGTGAGGGGTCTGTGGGTGGTGTGGGATCTGTGGGTGGTGTAGGGGTCTGTGAGTGATGGGTCTGTGGGGTGGGGTCTGTGGGGTGATGTAGGGGTCTGTGGTGGGTGTAGGGGTCTGTGGGTGGTGTGGGGGTCTGTGGGTGTGGGGGTCTGTGGGTGGTGTGGGGGTCTGTGGGTGATGTGGGCCTGTGGTGGTGTGGGGTCTGTGGGTGGTGTGGGGTCTGTGGGTGATGTAGGTCTGTGGGTGATGTGGGGTCTGTGGGTGATGTGGGGTCTGTGGGTGGTGTGGGGGTCTGGGTGATGTGGGGGTCTGGGTGGTGTGGGTCTGTGGGTGGTGTTGGGGTCTGTGGGTGGTGTGGGGTCTGTGGGTGTGAGGGGTCTGTGGGGGTGTGTGGGGGTGTATGTAGGTGGGTCTGTGGGGTCTGTGGGTGGTGTAGGGGTCTGTGGGTGATGTGGGGTCTGTGGGTGATGTAGGGGTCTGTGGGTGGTGTAGGGGTCTGTGGGTGGTGTAGGGGGTCTGTGGGTGGTGTAGGGGTCTGTGGGTGATGTAGGGGATCTGTGGGTGGTGTGGGGTCTGTGGGTGGTGTGGGATCTGTGGGTGGTGTAGGGGTCTGTGGGTGTGTGGGGATCTGTGGGTGGTGTAGGGGTCTGTGGGGTGGTGTGGGGGTCTGTGGGTGGTGTAGGGGTCTGTGGGTGATGTGGGGTCTGTGGGTGATGAGGGGTCTGTGGGTGATGTGGGGTCTGTGGGTGGTGTGGGGGTCTGGGTAGTGTGGGGGTCTGTGGGTGGTGTGGGGTCTGTGGGGTGGTGTGGGGTCTGTGGGTGATGTGGGGTCTGTGGGTGAGTGGGGGTCTGTGGGTGGTGTGGGGTGATGTGGGTCTGGGGTCTGTGGGTGGTGTGGGGTCTGTGGGTGGTGTGGGGTCTGTGGGTGATGTAGGGGTCTGTGGTCTGTGGGTGGTGTGGGGTCTGTGGGTGGTGTGAGGGGTCTGTGGGTGGTGTAGGGATCTGTGGGTGGTGTATGGGTGGTCTGTGTGGTGGTGGTGTGGGGGTCTGTGGGTCTGTGTGGGGATCTGTGGGTGGTGTGGGGTCTGTGGGTGGTGTGGGGTCTGTAGGGTGGTGGGGGCTCTGTGGGGGTGTGGGGATCTGTGGGTGGTGTGGGGATCTGTGGGTGGTGGGGTGTGGGTGGTGTAGGGTGGGTCTGTGTGGGTTGTGTTGTAGGGGTCTGTGGGTGATGTAGGGGTCTGTGGGTGGTGTAGGGGTCTGTGGGTAGTGTAGGGGTCTGTGAGACTGGATTGTTTTGAAGAAAATTCCAGATAGAACAAACATTACCTAAGAGGAGAAGAGTGAGCCAGGTTTTAAGGCTGTATTAAAGGGTATAGCTGTACTAAATATCCATAGTCTTTTTATTTTTTACAATATGTTTATTGTTTAGTATCTACAAGAGTAAAGTTGGACTTACAAACAAGCCTGAGGAGCGTAACTCGCTCCTAAGTAGAGGAGCACCTGTACTACTGTATGATGCAAATGTTAACTTGAGGAGATTTTGTCAAGGCTCCGTGGTGTGAACTTGACAAACAGCTTCCTGCAGGTGGTTAAGGAAGCAGAAAATTACTTCATATACGCTGCTTTTAAAAAAGAAATAACCTGATTTATTACAAAAATTTAAATGTATGTTGCAGGTGTCACAGGCTGCTAGAAGGCTTGGTAAACAAGAAACCAGTGGTATCAACATTGCCAGACTTCAGGAAATCATGAAGGAGGAAGATCATTATGATAAAAAGCTACAAGCAGAGAAACTCAATGAAAAGAATAGGTAAATATATCTCTTGAAGTTTACTACATGCAGGAATGGACAATTCCATTTCCCAGGTCATGGTGAGTAGAAACTGCACCAGGTGAGTTAAAACCAAGTTTCCAGTCACCCAGGTAAACATCATTAGTTAATATACTATCCACACCTTAGATAAATGAATTTCAGATGCCCACTCCTTCAGCCGCTTTCTCTCAAAAGGAAGAATGTCTGGGCAACAAAGGGAATTATAGTGAAGAGTCTTTTGAGGGGACATCCCCCCCAAAGGCTCAGCCCACTGGATCATCAAGAGGATCCTTGGGGGCTAATGGGATGTGGGCTCCTGTCAAAGCTCCCTCCTCAGAGTCACTGACTGATTCATAGTCGGAGGACTTTACTAAGGTTCCTGCCAAAATGCCAGCAACAGCAGGAGCCAGTCAACCACAGGATTTTGATCTTGTGGGTCTAAAGATTTTTTTTAAGTCTGGGTGGGTGGCCCTGGATACCAACAGCTCCCCCTAAATCTGGGCACACCAAACCTGCGGCATCATCATTGTCCACTGGGCTGCTAAAGACATCAGGTAAACAAACTTATTCCCTTACCTCCAAGTCAATTTCCCCAATCAAAGTCAAAGACTCCCTCTGGAAAACCTCCAGAGGGATGTCTTGCCTGAAGTCAACAATTTTCAATATGATGCAATGGAACATCCAAGGGCTAAAGGCTAATTGGGAGCCGCTTGCCCTTTTGCTATCTCATCTCTCGCCAGTTTGTGTGTGTTTGCAGGAGACGATGGTTGGTGAAGGCCACCATCCTCCTCGTGGTTATCAAGCCTTATATTCTGACCCAATATTCAAACTGCCCTTGAGATCTTACCAGGTGTGTTCAAACTACCCGTGAGATCTCACCAGGTGTGTTCAATCTGGTAGATTTTGCCCAAAAAAATATATATATCTAGTGCTCCGTACTGTGAAAGGAAGCCTGTAATGGACCACTCAACAAGATGGTAGTCTCATAATGGAGGTCTCCTCCCCCGAGGAGAGTGCTCAACTCCGTACCCTGTCTGAGGCACCTGGTGCACCAGTCTCCTGTACTCCTGTTCTCTAAACATCTAGTGTGATACTCAGATGAGAAGTTTCTGTTGGATCTCCGAGTCCAAAAGGTGTTGAAAGTGGACAGGTTCCGCCATAAAGAGAATGGCGTTCTTAACTCTGATACTGACATTTGACTTTCGAAATTTCACCCTCTATCAAGGTTGCCTGGATCTCCCTTAAGGTGAAAACCATACATCCCAAACCCTAGATGATGATTTCATTGTCAGTTGTATGGCCATGTCAGCTGCAATTGTTGTAAGTTAGAGCAGGGTGTTCCTGCAGTACGTGTTAACTGTGGTAAGGCTCATGAGAGTCAGAAATGTCCAGGTCTGATCTGCTGTTTTCACTGTAATGAGGCGCACCTGGCCTCTTCTAGTGAATGTGACCGGTTCCAACTCCAGAAAGAGATACTAAATATTCGTACGAGAGACAAAGTGAGCTTTGCTGAAGCCAGAAATGCAGTTCTAAAATGAGTCTCAAGTCATGGGGATTCCTATGCGCAGGTTCTATCCCTTGACAGACACAAGGCTTGGCAAACTGTTGCTGCAACACCGTCCCGAGAATCATCCATACCTCTATTGAATTCTATGCCACCAATTCTCAGTCCACAGACTCTCTTGTAGTGACTGAGGTCCATATGGATGTGGCAGGTGCATCTGTTACTCCTCATCTTTCTTCCTCCCGCCATCCGGCGCCATCTTGATATTACAAAAATTTCAGCAAAATTCTCCGAGGGTGTTCAGAGTTTCTGAAGGTGGACAACCGTTCACCCACGGTCTCCATGGAGATGCCGGATGATCCTCTTTTGGATACTTCTGGTGATGAGGCCCCAGCTAATATAGAGCTGGCAGCTCTACAGAGGGACTATCCCTGTTTACACCGACGGCTCACAAGTCGGATGGTAGTCTCCCCATTATGGTGTTTATTTTACAGCAGAACTTTCAGGTATTTTATGTGCTCTCAAAATTATTTTTTACCAAACCCCATCCCTTCGTTAAAGCTATTTTACAGTGGTTGTTTCTCATCCAACGACGGGACCTGAAAGTCAGTTTTTACTGGGTTCCAGCCCATGTGGGGGAGAAGGGGAATGAGCTGTTGTGAAAGCAGCTGCTTCTTGTCCTCTGGCACATCAATCCCCTCTACCTGCCTCTGATATGAAGCTGCCATCCACTCGAGTTGGCAATGCAGGTGGAATGCTCCACGACATCCACCCTTGCTTTGGGCGGCTGGGGATATCGGGGATTGTCGCACCGCTGGGAGACTGCTTTGGCCCGCCTTCGCATTGGCCACACATGGCTGACTCATGGTTTTTTAATGGATTGGGTATCCGTTCCCCCATTGTGATTACTGCCAGGTCCTATTGACTGTTCGACACCTCCTGGTAGAGTGTCCCAGTCTCAGAGATCATCATCATAAGCACCTTTCCCAGTGCCAGGAGAGAGACGGGTCTTATCGTCTCTTTGGTGCTGGGAGAGAGAGTGGGTAATGTGGGAGGGGACGCCCTCTCCTTCGTGGAGGAAGCCAGCCTTCTACACAAGCTTTGAGTTTTGTCTATTAATGTTTAAGTGTTTTTACAAAAGTTTTGTGCTATCTATTATGTTTTTTGTCTTGCATTAATTGGTTTTAGTCTTCTAAACTTTTAATTTGGCAACATATGATCTAAGCTGTTGCGTTGCCAGGAGTGTAATTACCACAATCAATCGATTAATCATCCTCAACCATTATCCCCCATGTTTGATGTTTTCTTATTAAATTATTAATACACCCTTCACAGACATGAGAAAGGTGTAAATATAGTAGATAAATCATATAGTATGCACTTACATGTACAGTACAGTAAAATTGAAGGCAATATTTCATAAAATTTTCAAATATTGATTTATGTTGTATGTTGGTGGTTTTAGTGATGATCTTAGGAAAATTTTGCATGAAGAGTATGATCTATATGTATTAATATTTACAGAATAAAAAAGAAAAAAGAGAAGGCAAAAAGAGCTGGTAATAAGGAAGATGAAGAGGAGGGGGAGGAAGAAGAAAAAGATGATGACCAAGATGATGACAGTGATGTTGATGATGATGTCACTCAAAATATCATTGATGAATTACCAGACCCAGATAAGTATTACAGCAATGATTTAGAAGATGGAGAAGAGAATAACAAGTATGACTCGCACAGTAGTGATGGGGAGAGTAGCAGTGAAGTGAGCGAGTCTGAAGAAGAGGAAATGCCCAAGATTAGGTGAGTATCATGTAATTCTTTGGCTGCTTGTTCAGTCAGTAACATTAACTCATTTTCAAAACTTATCATCCACACTCTGTCACTCTTACTGGTAAGGTCTTTGAGGTTCGGAGTTACTCAAATATACAAGTTGTACTTTGCCTGATCCATCAGAGAACCTTAAAAAAATATGGGCTAGCTGCTTCGGTAACTTAGGCCAAAGGCTCACACACTTAGATCACATTTTACTGCTGTTCTACAAGGTTGATCTCTTGCTCTCTGCTGTTTTTGCATACAATTAGTGTTCTACACAATCGGCAAAAAATACTGATTCAAAGTATTGTTAAGATGTAAAATGTTATTAGTTACATATACTGCACTGTACAGTACATTTAGCAGTGGACAGTGTATGCCTACTGGAGTGTAGAGATGTATGAACTATGTAAAGTATACAGTGCATGTAAAATCCCTCCTTCATGGAGGGAAAGGAGAGTGACAGTTAATAACACCTGCTACAGTAGATGGTACAGGCCATCCTGTCATCATATCACCATTTGGCTTACCTGCTTCACAAGCTCAAGGCGACAGCATCTGCTGGCGAGTACAGTCCAGTATATACTGTACACTACAGTAGTATATAATATTTTGTTCATTTACAATATACAGTACCTGTGTTGTATGCATACAGTGGTGTTTGTGTGATTAAATACAGCTAAGTCTATCCTTGTGAGATGCGTAGTTTACTCTCAGAAAACTTTCCGGGGATGTGAGATAGTGTCTGTCCATGTGAGATGCATAGTTTAGACTCCAGGAAAACTTACCCCAGTACCCGGAAATCATTCATTTCCAGAATAACTTTGCCCTAATTATTACGGTTAATGGAGATCTCAATGTACTACTATAGTACAAACTCTAAGAAAAATAACGGTTGAAATACCGATTTTGTTTAATTGCGTCATGTACTGTAGATGACAATATATATATATATATATATATATATATATATATATATATATATATATATATATATATATATATATATATATATATATATCTTGATAAAATCACACGGGAAAATGGAAACAACGGAGTACCTTAGCTTTCGTCTTTATTCAAGACATCTTCAGAGGCATCTGGATTACATGGACAGAGAGAGGCTTAAATATACAGGTGTGTGTGTATATATATATATATATATATATATATATATATATATATATATATATATATATATATATATATATATATATATATATATATATATATATATATATTCTTTGCTTTGCTGATTTTTCATGTTGCACTTTTTAATGTATTTGGTGTCATTGTTTTTGCTTGTGAGAGGATTTGAATATTGCTGTAAGTGTCTGTGTTTTGTTCATGACAGCATCTGGCAAATTCTGATGGAGTCAGTTGTCATTCTCTTGTTGTTTAGAACAGTTGTTTGGAAAACACTGCCAGCTGTGGAAGAATTCATATCTTCTAGGCACCTGAGTACCCTTATAATTACTTTTATAATTGGATAATTAAGACAATTCTTTGTGATAGTTTAAATGTATTGTTTAAAGTGGGGCTGTGTCTAGAGATTATGTGCGACAGAAAGTTGTAGTGAAACAGTCCAAGTATAATTTATATTGCTGTCATTAAATGGTCCTTCAAACTGGATTGTCTGTCAGGTTTAGTTACTTCTTTGTTCTCATTGGTGAAACTCGGTAAATTGCCCACCAGTCTGCACGACATTGCCACATGTGAAATTTTTCCTTATTTCGTTCATTTGTCGTCTTCCTATGTTATCCAATGTTCGTGTTTAACTTTATTCAAAATTACTATCCAGATATATTTTGGGACCCCAGACTGTAAGCCCAAATATTCTGAACAGTTCAAATACCTGTATAATTCCTAATTTTTGGCCAGTTATGTAAAGTATTTGCATCCCCAGAATTAACTTTTGTTGTTAGAACTAACTTACCCTAACCAGCCATTGAATTGGGGATGGGAGTAAGCACATATTATTGGGATAGAATCTCCTTTACTACCAAAAGGGCTTAATCCCACTTGGTTGTGAAAATGAGAATAAATATTTGAAACAAGTACAGTATTTGGATGGACAGTCAAAATATTACTCAGGTGAGTCTTGTTAGACTTACAACTGCCTGTCATGTCCTTATGGGTCTTCATGTTTTAATTTTATGAGAAAGAAATATTACGTAATATTTGACTATTGAAGTTTTTTATCAGCAAATTAATGATAGGTTCCATGAAGGTTATGGGGGAATAATATGGGTTTTATTAATCAAGTTTAAAATTGTGTTAGTAATCAAGTAGCAGTTAATTACTGTACTGTATATATTATATCTGATTGTTTCAAATATTTTATGTTTAAGTTTAGTAAGGTGTAAACCTTAGTTGATTGCAAAGATCGGATCGTGGCATATTAACATGTCTTGTTTACTTATTATAGAATTGCCATTTGGCAAGACAAACTTTTCAATGTCTATTATTTTCAGTGGAAAGAGACGTGCTCGGGACAGCACGTGAGGCCAAACGTGCAAGGCTAGAGCAAGCCAATACTCTTGAAGCTCTGCCGATGAATGAGCAGGAAGAACTAGCATTGTTCCTCCTGCGTGGTAAAACATATTATGGTAAGTACCTTTTAATATACAGTATATTTCTTGTACAAATCTTCTAATAAAATCACAGATCAGCGACATTTCTTGAACTGATGGGCTAGTCTGCCAATTCAGTAATCTGTTCTATGTTTACATTCGTTTCCAGTGGAGTAAATATCAAGAAAATTGTGCTATTTAATATTTGTGAATTTTCTATAATAAAATTATTGGTCATATAGTGGATTCCTCCCCTACAAACGCTGTTTGTCGCCGAGTAGCTGACCCCGCGAATTCCCCAGAGTATGCCTCGTGGTCTAGGTCAACCAGCGCCGCCTTACATGACGGAGGTCAACTATTAAGCCACGCCTACCTCCGCTATATAAGACCTGACCTTGTGGTGACCTACCTCTTTCTACCTACACCAACCAGCAAGCAACACCACCTCCTTCGCTCCTGCCTGGCGGTCCTGCTCCCGCCGGCGATCATGGGCGACCCACAAGCTGGTCCTCCTCTGAGCACCCTCACCAACCAGCTCTCTCTACTCAACGCTTGTAACCACGCTGCATTCCCAGCACCAAGCTGCATTGTACATCTAATACAACATGTGTACAGAGAGCACATTGTGAGTTTCCTTTCTCCATCCCATCCTGAGTGTGAACCAAACAACCCGTACCCCACAGTCATTCAAAAATTTAGCCATCCAAGCTGTCTACATAAAGTTTCTCAGCTATTATTTTTGGCTCGATATATGTAACTTTTGGGGAAATATTACCTAATCTTCCGAAATAGATTATCATAGAAAACGGGAAATATGTATAATAAAAAATGGGAGATATTTACTTTCTGGGAAAGTTGGTTATCTACTTATAATAGAAAACGGGAAATTTGTATCATAGAAAATGGGAAATATCTATTTTCCGGGAAAGTTGGTTATCTACTTATAAAGTTGGTTGTCTACTTTCCCGAAAAGTAGATTATCTACTTTTCGGGAAAGTAGATTATCAACTTTTTGGGGAAGTAGATTATCGACTTTTGGGGAAATATTTCCTAATTTTGCGAAGTAGATTATCATAGAACACGGGAAATTTGTATTACAGAAAATGGGAAATATCTACTTTCTGGGAAAGTTGGTTATCTACTTACCATAGAAAACGGGAAATTTGTATCATAGAAAATGGGAAAATGTCTACTTTCCGGGAAAATATCTATTTTCCGGGAAAGTTGGTTGTCTACTTTCCCGAAAAGTAGATTATCTACTTTTCGGGAAAGTAGATTATCAACTTTTTGGGGAAGTAGATTATCGACTTTTGGGGAAATATTTCCTAATTTTGCGAAGTAGATTATCATAGAACACGGGAAATTTGTATTACAGAAAATGGGAAATATCTACTTTCTGGGAAAGTTGGTTATCTACTTACCATAGAAAACGGGAAATTTGTATCATAGAAAATGGGAAAATGTCTACTTTCCGGGAAAGTTGGTTATCTACTTTCCCCAAAAGTAGATTATCGACTTTTGGGGAAATATTACCTAATTTTCTGAAGTACATTATCATAGAAAACGGGAAATTTGTATTACAGAAAATGGGAAATATCTACTTTCTGGGAAAGTTGGTTATCTACTTATCATAGAAAACGGGAAATTTGTATAATAGAAAATGGGAAATATCTATTTTCCGGGAAAGTTGGTTGTCTACTTTCCCGAAAAGTAGATTATCTACTTTTCGGGAAAGTAGATTATCAACTTTTTGGGGAAGTAGATTATCGACTTTTGGGGAAATATTTCCTAATTTTGCGAAGTAGATTATCATAGAACACGGGAAATTTGTATTACAGAAAATGGGAAATATCTACTTTCTGGGAAAGTTGGTTATCTACTTACCATAGAAAACGGGAAATTTGTATCATAGAAAATGGGAAAATGTCTACTTTCCGGGAAAGTTGGTTATCTACTTTCCCAAAAAGTAGATTATCTACTTTTCAGGAAAGTAGATTATCGACTGTTTGGGGAAGTAGATTATCGACTTTTGGGGAAATATTACCTAATTTTACGAAGTAGATTATCATAGAAAACGGGAAATTTGTATAATAGAAAATGGGAAAATATCTACTTTCCGTGAAAGTTGGTTATCTACTTTCCCAAAAAGTAGATTATCTACTTTTCGGGAAAGTAGATTATCGACATTTTGGGGAAGTAGATTATCGACTTTTGGGGAAATATTACCTAATTTTGCGAAGTAGATTATCATAGAAAACGGAAATTTGTATTACAGAAAATGGGAAATATCTACTTTCTGGGAAAGTTGGTTATCTACTTATCATAGAAAACGGGAAATTTGCATCATTGAAAATGGGAAAATGTCGTCTACTTTCCGGGAAAGTTGGTTATCTACTTTCCCAAAAAGTAGATTATCTACTTTTCAGGAAAGTAGATTATCGACTTTTTGGGGAAGTAGATTATCGGCTTTTTCGGAAATATTACCTAATTTTCTGAAGTAGATTATCATAGAAAACGGGATATTTGTATCAAAGAAAATGGGAAATATCTACTTTCTGGGAAAGTTGGTTACCTACTTTCCTGAAAAGTAGATAATCTACTCCCCCGAAAAATCTATCATCTACTTTCCTGAAAAGTAGAGAATCTACTTTTCGGGAAAGTAGATAACCAAGTTTCCCGGAAAGTAGATATTTTCCCATTTTCTATTAGACAAATTTCCCGTTTTCTATGATAAGTAGATGACCAACTTTCACAGAAAGTAGATATTTCCCATTTTCTGTAATACAAATTTCCCGTTTTCTATGATAATCTACTTCGCAAAATTAGGTAATATCTCCCCAAAAGTCGATAATCTACTTCCCCAAAAAGTCGATAATCTCCTTCCCGAAAAGTCGATAATCTACTTTCCTGAAAAGTAGATAATCTACTTTTTGGGAAAGTAGATAACCAACTTTCCCGGAAAGTAGATATTTTCCCATTTTCTATTATACAAATTTCCCGTTTTCTATGATAAGTAGATAACCAACTTTCCCCAGAAAGTAGATATTTCCCATTTTCTGTAATATAAATTTCCCGTTTTTCTATGATAATCTACTTCATAAAATTAGGTAATATTTCCCCAAGTAGATAATCTACTCCCCCGAAAAATCTATCATCTACTTTCCTGAAAAGTAGAGAATCTACTTTTCGGGAAAGTAGATAACCAAGTTTCCCGGAAAGTAGATATTTTCCCATTTTCTATTAGACAAATTTCCCGTTTTCTATGATAAGTAGATGACCAACTTTCACAGAAAGTAGATATTTCCCATTTTCTGTAATACAAATTTCCCGTTTTCTATGATAATCTACTTCGCAAAATTAGGTAATATCTCCCCAAAAGTCGATAATCTACTTCCCCAAAAAGTCGATAATCTCCTTCCCGAAAAGTCGATAATCTACTTTCCTGAAAAGTAGATAATCTACTTTTTGGGAAAGTAGATAACCAACTTTCCCGGAAAGTAGATATTTTCCCATTTTCTATTATACAAATTTCCCGTTTTCTATGATAAGTAGATAACCAACTTTCCCAGAAAGTAGATATTTCCCATTTTCTGTAATACAAATTTCCCGTTTTCTATGATAATCTACTTCGCAAAATTAGGTAATATTTCCCCAAAAGTCGATCAATTCATTTCCAAATGATATCTACTTTCCCGAAAAGTAGATAATCTACTTTAGGAAAGTAGATAACCAACTTTCCCGGAAAGAGATAGATATTTTCCCATTTTCTATTATACAAATTTCCAGCTTATGATAAGTGATATCCAACTTTCCCAGAAAGTAGATATTTCCCATTTTCTGTAATACAAATTTCCGTTTTCTAGATAACTTCGCAAAATTAGTAATATTTCAAAGTCGATAATCTCCTTCCCGAAAAGTCGATAATCTACTTTCCTGAAAAGTAGATAATCTACTTTTTGGGAAAGTAGATAACCAACTTTCCCGGAAAGTAGATATTTTCCCATTTTCTATTATACAAATTTCCCGTTTTCTATGATAAGTAGATAACCAACTTTCCCAGAAAGTAGATATTTCCCATTTTCTGTAATACAAATTTCCCGTTTTCTATGATAATCTACTTCGCAAAATTAGGTAATATTTCCCCAAAAGTCGATAATATACTTCCCCGAAAAGTCGATAATCTACTTTTCCGAAAAGTAGATAATCTACTTTTTGGGAAAGTAGATAACCAACTTTCCCGGAAAGTAGATATTTTCCCATTTTCTATTATACAAATTTCCCGTTTTCTATGATAAGTAGATAACCAACTTTCCCAGAAAGTAGATAGATATTTCCCATTTTCTGTAATACAAATTTCCCGTTTTCTATGTTAATCTACTTCGCAAAATTAGGTAATATTTCCCCAAAAGTCGATAATCTACTTCCCCAAAAAGTCGCTAATCTACTTTTCCGAAAAGTAGATAATCTACTTTTTGGGAAAATAGATAACCAACTTCCCCGGAAAGTAGATATTTTCCCATTTTCTATTATACAAATTTCCTGTTTTCTATGATAAGTAGATAACCAACTTTCCCAGAAAGTAGATATTTCCCATTTTCTGTAATACAAATTTCCCATTTTCTATGATAATCTACTTCGCAAAATTGGGTAATATTTCCCCAAAAGTCGATAATCTACTTCCCCAAAAAGTTGATAATCTACTTTCCTGAAAAGTAGATAATCTACTTTTTGGGAAAGTAGGTAACCAACTTTCCTGGAATGTAGATATTTCCCATTTTCTATGATACAATTTTCCCATTTTGTGATAATCTTCTTTGATTGTTTCTTAAAAAAAAGAAACCCTCTTATTTTCTTCTTGCTGCAACCTCTTCTGCTTTAACACACTTCTACATATATTTCTGGAGAGTTTTATGTTCCTACACATCACATATGTATATATATATATATATATATATATATATATATATATATATATATATATATATATATATATATATATATATATATATATATATATATATATTATATATATATATATATATATATATATATATATATATATATATATATATATATATATATATATATATATATATATATATATATATATATATATATATATATATATATATATATATATATATTATATTATATATATATATATATATATATATATATATATATATATATATATATATATATATATATATATATATATATATATAATGTGTATGTGTGTGTGATTCAAATCTTACAAGCATCATTACGCATTTGTAAAATATAATGCAAGTGGTGAAAATATGAAATTTAGATTCAAGATATTTTTATTGGTGGAACTGAAATATCTCACTACACAAAAAGCTTACAAAACAAGAGGCATACTTTTCATATCATTGATACAGCATTCCTTTAACAGGAATGAGTTTATATTGTACCTAGAGAGATACAGAAGTTAAAAAAAAGGAAAGAAAAATAAAGTGAGTTCAACATACAATCATCCTATTCTGGGGTGACCACTGAAAGGCAAATTCAAAGGAGTTGTGGTTTCAAATTCCACAGCAGGCCCTCTACTTCAGTGAGTTTCAAGAAATGTGTCAACACCTCAACTCCAGAATAGAATGCCGTCTTACATTTGTAGCCTACATGAAGATCTGTTCTAGTGGTGTACAATCACTATAGTCTTCCTTGACAAATCCTATCACCCAAACATACAATTTGTAAAACTTTTGTAAATATAAAAAGGTGTGGGAGTGAAAGGTTGCGGGAGAAATGCACCATGCCAGTGGACCTGCGCCCATGGTTTATTCAGTGGCATCCGTTATTTACAAGTGAGAAGAGCAAGACTGAATACACCATTGCCACAAATGCTAAATATCATATCCACTTTTACATCACCTTGGACGAGTTCACATAAAGTATGACCTATAGGGGTGAAGAACAGCTTATCTCTTTCACATTTACGAATGTATAAGACAAGCAAATCCTTTTGTATTAGTATTTTTTTTTTTTTTGCACTGACTAAAGAGTACACCTACATTTCGACCCTTGTACATCCATCTAAGCAAATTTTTATTTAAATCAAAGACTTCTGTGAGCGCATTTTCACATCTAATTGACAAATTGATGCTCCGGATGCTGAGGCACCTACATCGTAGGTGGGAATGGATGCTGGCCGAACAACACCAACAAACTCTGAAAAGTGGATTCCAGTGGATCATCCTTGTCACTTGATATTACAGTGGGGACCCTGAGGCACAGTTGCCCTATAAGGATAGCCTCAGGTTGTAGGTGAGAAGATCTTGGTGGGGTTAACTTCAGTTAGTACCCCAGTAAGACCCACCATAGGAAGGTTTAGATCCTCCCTTGTTCTGCCCACCCGTACTTCCTGCACGCTGACCGCCAGAGCTGCCTCCATCCTGTGTAGTAAGAACCAAATAATTAGTTTTCCTAATCAAAACATTTTTATCCAACAGATAGTTCACTTCAAACCTGTAAATACTGAGTAGAATGAATGTTGCTAAACAGTAATGTAAAATCCTATACAGTACAGAGAACCTATAATTCTTTCTTGTACCGACTTGCTTTGAATACCCATAACTCACCCCAATATTCACAAAGCACTAAACTAAATCCATTAAGAGAAACAGGACATAGTATCTGGAAGGATACATTAAGTCTTGTGTTCCAACTCCTGGGTATAGCAACCCACAGTAATGAGCACTATAAAGCATACAATTTTTTATTGTATTAAAGTCAAAGTGCTGTTTTACACTACATAATGGGATACTGATTGATTGACTCATTATTCCCTGGCGTCATAACAGATCGGTCAATGACGCCAGGTATACCTGAGGAGCTTGAGGAGAACCTCCAGTTACCATCTGCTGTATTTCTCGGCACAACCTTCTACACCAGCACCCCCTCTTGAAAACAAACTTCCTCACAGTTCTTCCATCTCACCTTATGACCCCTAATAAACTTGAAAGGCAGGCAAGTTGCTGGAGCTCTGAGGAAAGTAACGAAAGGGAAATGGGTGAGCTGCAATGCGCAGTGGGGTTTACTGGAATACGTGGAGCTACCCATTCTCATACATATCCTAATGAAAAACAGATCTGAAACAAGACTGACTAGTACAATGCAAGCAGATGCGAGACTTTAAGAGATATGGACACCGAAAGGTCTGAAACAACATTTGACAGCAACACTGCTGATAGATGCAAAGCTTTCTTATGAGCAATATTTTGCCTATGACATTGCAGAAAGATACAAGGTCTTTAAAAGATGAGAACATAAGGTTAGGAGGACAGCCAAAGAATATCAATGGATGGATCAGTAATTTTGAGATGATCTGAGCACATTCACTAACAAGAACACCATGACACATTATTCACCTGCAGCCACATTTCATTTATCATCTTTGAACATATGGTAGCATAGTGTTTTGCACTATTTCTAGTAATGATACATGTTTGAGTGAAGTTTCATCAAAATAACTGTATTAATTCCCAAATTATGTTCTGAATGTCATTTTGGCCTTTAATATTTCTGTGACCTTGGTGAAAATTTAAGGTAGGGTTCTGAACTTGTCAGGTGATTTTCAGGCCAAAGATATGATAATTTCTGTAGGTTCTGAAATTTTAGGCCAGGTCCCCAGTGGGGTCTATTATGGGCAACACCCTATAAACAACATGTCAAACAACTTAATTTCAATTCATAAAATATAAAAGTTTTGGATCCTTGCAATGAAATTGGTAAAGGGTTCCAATCAGTATTTCTCTCTACTGACCAGATAAAGAAGTTTGCATAAATGTAAACAACAATCACCCTATCAAAAGCATTCTTATATGAAGTTTGAATAAAAAGCTCTTGCATAATAAGCCATCATTAATTTCCCTGTGATTTTCTCTTAGTATATGACTAGGATCCCCCCCCCCATATTTTGTCATTAAATTCATGTAAGTTTAAAAAATAACCATGGGTAAGCCAAAAAACTGGACCAGTCCAAATGAATCTTAAGTCTGGATGATATAAATTCCAGTGAAGTTTCATCAAAGTAACTGTATCAACATAAAAAATATGCTCCAGATAAGGAAAACTACAGACCAAGACAACACCATACAAAAAAAAAAGTGGGTACAAAGGCACTGATGGCCATTAGGGGGCAATATGGATAAAACATGTCCAATTTTCAGTATACATGAAGCTAGTGTGGCTGTCACTGATTCAACCTCTTTCACTTCCTAAACTGTACAATTAGTTGTCCATTCATGGCAAGAAACACTTGTGGTGCCCAGGGCAAGAACCAGTGGCCCTTAGGACTGGAGGGACATACTGTATCCAAATAAAAGCAAGGTTAAACAAACTATTCAATCCACATACTGCATACACAATGTCAAAATTCATCACCCCCAGAAAAAATAAAAATGAAAAATAGGGAGGAATTTACAAGAGGAAGGACTAGATAAGTATCATTTAGATTCAATGGACCTCCATCCTTGATTTTTTTTAAATTCAATAGGCCTGTAGCAGTTTTTGAGAACTTGCCTTGAAAAAATAAAAAAATTAATAAGACAATTATGGCCATCTGTGTTAAGTCACACGGCTAGATTGCCATTATTAATATGCCGACAGGATAATTAAAAGTTATACATCATCTGGACTGCACAGCTTACAGTCTTTGAGGCTGATAGACAAAGCAGAATGATGTGAGCTGGCAATCAGACACAACCTGTATTTATATATGCTAATGTATCACATTGTAGTCTTTGTTAAAATTGTAATTATTCTACCCTATCCAGTGTTAGGGAAGGGGGGGACATTTGGTGGAAATAAAAAATCCTAAGCCCATTTGGCCACATGTTGAACCATGTATAAGCGAGTTTATACCATGCAGTATAAACTAAATGGTCACAATTAACTGACATGGTCAAATTAACTGACTATGTATAAGCAAAACAGCATAAAAAGTAGTGTCAATTTAGAGCTTACTGTACGTACTAGGGTTTTTGTAACAAAGATAACAACAGGTAATGTTCATATTACTATCAAGAAGTATGAGAAGAATTAGGTGTCACTTCTTAGTAAAAACTTTCCAATTTCACAACAAGGGTTTCAAAGTCCTATAGTGTGGTAGTGGGTTTAGGGCCCAACTGCAGACAACACACAGCAGCTATAACAGCATATCTCTCAATTATGCTGGCTGATCTATTTGAAATATGAGATTCACAAATTTATTTTGAGAATCTGAATCTCCCTACAACACTCAAGATAAATGTGACATTTCTAATTAACATTGTATAAGTGCAGTACATACAATTTAGTGGCATTAAGAAGTAAACTTTTGTTGTAAAATATATCCATGCTCCTCACCTGTAAGCCAGTCATGTGATGCAATTGTTTAATTTTGGGTATCACAGGCAGAAAAGTAAATAATAATAAAAATAATGTTTTATTTGTTGATAAATAAACAAATACCCAATTGAATATTCAATTTAGTGGTGTGCAGCTATTAAGTATAATTTTTTTTATTTCAGTACAAACTATACAGTATACAATACTGTACAGAATATATTTACACAAACACAATATTTTTTTCAAAATGCTAAAGGAGAGAATGAAAATTTATAAATATTGCAAAATAGCCATAACCAAAATTGCATCCTGTAAGCAAGACAAGTAAGTATTTCGTGACCCACCCCAAGCCTAGTGATGAACATCGGCAAAGACCTTGACACCACCCCCCTCCATATTATTCTCCTCGGATTTGTGCGATTCACGTGGGTCGACCTGGACAATCCAGCAAAACCCGAAAAATCACACTCCTGATACACTTATATGACTCATGATTAATATGTGGAATAATCCACTTAAATCAAGTCATTTAATTATAAGAACAATTCATCTCTGACAATACTCATCACAGAATTAGTAGGTATAACCTATAATATTTGGTTAGTTGATCGCTAACATGAAATATGAGAGGTACACAAACAATTCGGTTATTGGAGTGGATTATTGACCGGAATTTGTTCCTAAAAGTTTAATTATTTACCTATTATATAGTACATCATTAATTTATGGTAAGATTGCTGTCAAATAAAAATATTTTGAAGTTGGCATTGAATTCACGTAAAATTTCAGGTTTATTTGTAAAATTCCCTGCCTTTTCCAGGTTTTCCAGAGAGGGCAATACGGGTAGTCTCCGAGGAGTGAAGGGTGGCTTGGTCAATGGGATGGGGTAACTCACTGTAATCCTAATGCTAGCTCAGGGTGGCACCCTGAGCTAAGCAATCTCTCTCTCTCTTTTTAATGCACAAAGCTTTATGACACAGATCTCTCACTTTCTGCTAATACCTTGTACATTTGTGCCTAGTACAAGGTATTTCATAATATAACTTCATGAAAGATGATAGAAATACTATACTGTATATAGTATTAAATCTCTATACCAAAATAATTGGTGAGCAGCCAGTACGGTATAAAACAAATCCAGAAAACTCGTCCAATACCGAACTTTGTTCAGTATACGAAAAAGTTGGGTTTTTTAGACCAGATAAATTGTCACAATTCAGGATTTTTTTTTTAATATAATTTGGTAACACAAGACTTAAATAAACACTAAATATCACACAATAGATATAAAAATGCAGTAACAAATAGTTCTATATTACATAAACACTTCCTTTCCTGGCTGGCTGGGTGGTCAACTGTTTGTCTATGTAAACAAAGCACCAGGAATTAAATATGACACAATAAATCATCTGTATTAACCCGGCACCAAATGAATCTAAATAATATGGGCGTTAAAATTGCATATTATACTTTTAAAGGGGTCATGGGACCAGAAGGGGAATTTTCTGCTCAGTCCAGCCAGCAACCTGCCTTTTCTACATTCTCACCCACACAAGAGTTAAGTTCCAACTCCTCATTTTTCTTATTTTATAGTTATATATTTTTCTAAGTCACTTTAGAGCACTATAATACAGTACTATATTTGAACATTTAAGATATCTGAAGAGGTAGGGGGTTCGGTTTATAGTGAATTCGTTCGGAATAGTGAGGTACTACAGAAACCTTAGGAGAGGTTTAGTATAGAGAAGTAATACCGTAGACACAAATTAAAATTTTGGTCATGTTTTTATTTATTCATTCTTTGAGGGAAATAATATATCTATTGAAAATTTAATTTATTTCTCTTAAGAAAGAGAAAACTCCTAAAGCTATAAAAATTATCCCTATGTAATGTCTCCAAACCCTTTACTATAAATTAAGAAATAATGATTTTATCTTGACTAAAAAACATTCTTTAAAAATCCTGACCTTTTCCAGATTCTGCAAAATACAGTATAGACAATATCCTAACTCAAGGGAACAGTTAAAATCAGTGATTCAAATCAACACACCCCGCTCTATCTACAAATTTCACTTGTTAATGACTCCTGGTATACTATATTAGTCTATATCAGATAATTATGCATATTTGATGACTTTAATTTCAAGGTACCCTCTACATGAGGCACCCAAAAATCTAACATACTGTAGCAACCACACATCCCAGAGGAGTTTAGTTTTGCCAATTCTTGTCATAAAAGTTTGGAATTATTGAATTTTTTTAATCCAAGTTAATCTTAAACTTTAAAAATGAGGATTTAAAAACAAAATGATTACTTTCCTACTTTGTTTTCTATTCCCGTACACTGCAGCAAATCTAAGATAAACTGGATAGACGGCAATATATCTTTATTGACATGACAAAAGATATCAAGAGCTAACATACTTCTACCTAACCTATTTAACTTGAAAGTATTAATCTAGCTCAGGTAGTTGTGATGACAGAATGAAGTAAAGCAAAAAGCTGCCAGAAGAATGATTAACCAACCTGATGGAGTTGATGATGCATGAGCGGGGAGTGATGCTGTGCTGCAGGCATGGTAGGGATGAACATTGGTGTGTAAGCGTTGGCAGTCATGGGATTTGTTCCAGAACCAGGTAGATTAAAAGGTGGAGGTGTTCCAGTATGGAAACCTTGTTTGTCATATGACTGAAAATAAAAATACAAAATAAAGTCATAAGTGAGTAAGAAACTCATTACTACTTTAATAAGCATGCCACACAAACAAGACACCCAATACATGTCTTTCAGCACTATACATTATAAGTTTCTTAAATTTTATAACTAAGAGCTAGTGCAAAAAAGGCCCAAGCAAACACTTGTAATTCTTTAAGCAATGAGTATTTAAATATACTGTAATTGCCATTATCATTCATGAAGGTGATAATCACATGTTAAAAGAAAAGGAACAAGCACTATTTAAAATTTTCTTAAAACTACTTATAAAAATGTTCAGCAAAAGGCTGTTCAATATATATATATATATATATATATATATATATATATATATATATATATATATATATATATATATATATATATATATATATATATATATATATATATATATATATATATATATATGCAAGTAAATCACTGTAGGTGCGCGTGATCTAGGTATATGCTGATAACCAAAGGAAAGAAGAAAACACGAAGTTCCCAAGCGCTTTCGTGTAATTCACATCTTCAGGGGTGAGTACAGACTAGAGAAAATACAAATCAAGGTGTATATATACAGAGAAGGGTGAGACCAGGTCCACAATGGTCAGGTATTAGGTAATGACCCTACTAATCTTTATATATATATATATATATATATATATATATATATATATATATATATATATATATATATATATATATATATATATATATATATATATATATATATATATATATATATATATATATATATATATATATATATATATATATATATATATATATATATATATATATATATATATATATATATAATCTATGATATACTGTACAAAGAATTTTGAAATAATGTACATACAGTAAATTCACCAACTCTCAACTATCATTCAAATCCTTCTTCATTAACTAAATACTGTATACAGTACCTGTTTATAGGTGCCTCATATGGATAACTAATAATTAAATATTTGCTATTCTTAAGATTGTTCTTTCAAACCTAGAATACAAAGGTTAGCCTATACAGTACAGTATATATAAGGTCAACATTCGGTTCTTATACCCTCTGTAGATCATGTGAAAAAGATAAATCTCTCATAAAGATATTCTGTGGCAGATATCACACGAGATGAATGTTTGAGTGATATTCATATCCAGTATAGTATTCTGAGATGGACTATGATACACATATGAAGAATGGATATTTCAGAGCTTTGTCTCTTTATAGAGCACTCTGTAAGATAGTTTCTTAAAAAATAAAATAAATAAATAAATTTGTAAAAGCATAATAAATCCTTTCACTCACACGTGATGAAAATAACTGAACAATCATCTCTTTAAAATGTTTCCTATAATCTATAGAGTGAGAATGATTTGCATAGCACCAGGGATTGATGTGAACAGTGGGCATCAAACCTCAGTGAATAATGCCATCCTCACCGTAGCAAACAATACCATACTCACCCTAGCAAACATCAGCAAATAATACCATACTCATCCTAGCAAATCTCAGCAAATTATACCATACTCACCCTAGCAAACATCAGCAAATAATACCATACTCATCCTGGCAAATCTCAGCAAATTATACCATACTCACCCTAGCAAACAATACCATACTCACCCTAGAAAACAATACCATACTCACCCTAGCAAATTTCAGCAAATAATACCATACTCACCCTAGCAAACCCCAGCAAATAATACCATACTCACCCTGGCAAACCCCAGCAAATAATACCATACTCACCCTAGCAAACATCAGCAAATAATACCATACTCACCCTAGCAAACCCCAGCAAATAATACCATACTCACCCTAGCAAACCCCAGCAAATAATACCATACTCACCCTAGCAAACCCCAGCAAATAATACCATACTCACCCTAGCAAACATCAGCAAATAATACCATACTCACCCTAGCAAATTTCAGCAAATAATACCATACTCACCCTAGCAAACATCAGCAAATAATACCTTACTCACCCTAGCAAACATCAGCAAATAATACCATACTCACCCTAGCAAACCAATACCATACTCAATTCTAGCAAACCCCTGTTAAAGTAATACTTACTCAATTATCTGATCATGGTACTAAACTTCTCTCATTAAGGTTGAAAGTCCTGACTATTACCACTCTGCAATGATAACTCTAGAACCAAAACTGAGGTTTCCACAATACTAACATTGGATACTTTAAAACACATCATAATGCTTAAACCACTGATTCAATAGTGAGGCTTGTTGTTCCTTTTCATTCCTTTACATATTTATAAACCTTAACTCAGTTACCCACCAAGCTTAAAATACAAAATATCCTAAAAGGAAAGAATATAAAATTACAATACTCTTCAAATAGGTGTTACATACCCTCCCCATTTTGCTAAGGCATTCTTATAACCTCCCAGATCAGTGCTGAGAATTAGTGGCTGTGCCAGTTGTTGCACCGCCAGCTTTGTTCTGGTTTTATGTTGCTGACCCGTAACCAGTCTTGAAGTCCTGAGTCTAAAATGGAAAATTATTAAAAATTCTTATATACATATACCTATATATGCAAAAATATTGTATTTCTTAAATGCCATTATACTGTATATAGAAATATTGATGATGCCTGGAGATAAGCTATCATAGTAGTTTCCTGTACCATACTGCAGTTTGGGTGCTGCCGGAAACTGGTTGGTGTTTGTCCCTGTGTGTGTATTGGTAACAGGAGGAATCTGAATAATAGCAGCGAGTCTTCTATACTGTGAAACGAGCTTAACGCAGCCACAGTTATGGTACATATAAACGAGGCATTGCTGCATTTCCTGTTGCCGTGATATATGTGCCAATCGCCTGAGCACCCTTTATGAAAGAAAAAAGTACATAAATAAATAAAATGCCACACTACTGTACTTCAAACACAACCATACCACTCTAAACAATGTACTGTACAAACTTTTAAGTAATTTCTTTATTGCAGTTTTCTCAGAGAACAACAGTACTAAAATAAGAAACACTGGGTTGCCCAACAGGTAAATAATTGTCCTCATTTTATGGCCCATTTTCCACATCTGCATGGCAGTCATCCAGGTTGCAAAATCTCTTGTACATCCTTCCTCACAACCTCTCCCCATGTCATTCTTGGCCTACCACTAACTCTCCTTCCTTTCGTTTTCAAACCCTTGAAAGACACAATTTATAGTTGCCCATTGCCATTTTAGATAGTCTCTGCGTTGGGCTAGTTTTATCTCCATTCATTTACAGCAGGGGTCCACAACCCTCATATTTCCAACCACATGCGGTCAGAAAATTTATATATTTGCAGCCAGCATAACAGCATCCGAAATATGTGTTGAGTGGCCAGCCAAGTTGATAAGGTGAGATAAAGCTGTTTAAACACATGATGCAGCAAACACCTATTCTGATACTGGGAAATATTACCTGGCAGCTGACAACACACACACAAATACATAAAAATTTGTAGCGATTAGTCAGAATTCAGATAGCAGTCTTTAACTAAATTTCAACAAAAATCATAAAGATTGCAGCGGATATTCAGTCTTGAATTTCAAATGAGCCTTAGTAACCATTTACTCTGTATTATTAAATGTGAAACATAATTTTGTTACATTAATATTTGTTGCCACCCAATAGGTTACTTAAATTTTTCTCCTGTTCACCAGTACAGTGAGTTCTGCTATAACGCGTGTTTTGACAACGCGAATTGGCGATTTATGAATAGAGGAACGATATTTGTATAACGCGAACGCTTGTTTGCTGTAACGCAATTTTTGCTTACTATTTCTCCAATTTTGTGGTATTAACTGTGAATATGGTAAAGAAGAATATCTCCAAGAAGCGTTCTGGTGATCGCATTCCCGGTGATGATCGTAAAAGAAAGGCTATAACCCTTGAAGAGAAGCTCGATGTTATCAACCTCAAAATCACCTTCTCCCCCATCAAGTTATATTCATATTTTTTCAAGGTAAAGTGTTACATTTACTGTATGATTTCATTATTAGATATGAATGTAACATTTATTTAGACTGTGCTATCGAGTAGTAATCTGCACCTAACCCTATTTTCTCCATCAGCCGTTATTTCTATTACGCGAATTTCTATAACACGATGTTTTACAAGAACACAACTATCGCGTTATAGCAGAACTGACTGTACTTGTCTTAATAGTTCTATATTGTATTTTTTAATGTTGAATGTGTTTTTTTCTCAGTTTAATAAATATTGCATAATTACAATGTGTGATGGCTGCAGCAAATTACATATTTCTTGTTAGTTATGTGGATGATTATTGTATAAAGGCTGCAGACCCTTGATCTGAAAGGACTCTAGTTCCATACCCAAAGTAATTTCCCATAATACATACAGTAAACACTAGATCAATGATAGCCTTTCTTAAATGTACTTTTAATTATCCCTATACTTACTTGCTGGTTCATTGTGGAGGGAACTGGTGAGGAATTCTGATCTGTGCGGAACTTTGCATCAGCAACAGAATAGGCTGCAGACGTCATGTTTCCATCTCTTCCAGTAGCTAAGCTGGTTGGAGCCTGCTGATTGAAACAAAAACAAATTACCTGTATTTCATGTTCGGTTCCTTAACATCTGTCAGACACATGAATACTTACAGTGTGTGTTAGGTAAATTGGCAAATGATGGTAAAAATACTTCAGAAATTACGTGACACATCCATCACCATTGGCACAATTAATCTACCATACACCTTCATATTCTATCATGTACTGTTGGTGGTGATGAATTTCAAAAGGAACACTGCAACTCCCGTTGTCTTGATAAGGTTGCCAAAATCCTTTGTCCATTGCATCATATTGTCTAACAACATTTTTTAAAGATAGTTTTTGAGCAACTGTACATATACAGTAAATCATTCTAAAAAAAAAAAAAAAATTATTTTCCCTGTTACTCATTCATTTCACTTGCTTTCAATAAGAATAATTGCTGGAGGATATCAAACTGTGCTAGTCAAAAGTGTAAAAAAGGGCAAGGAGCATTAAATGCTTCACAAAAAGTACTGTGGTGTACTAATGGACAGGATGGAGCGCAATGCCATGATATAATATATGGAAATACAATTATATTGGTATTAGTGTCAGCATGATAGGCATGAAGTTTAAATGTCATTGACACTGTTTTCCTCAGGAGTTGGGTTCCTCTCAGATACAATGGTGGTAATACAATCAAGGGTGGAAGGTAACAATACATGGGACCAAGTACATACATATGAATATGTTTGCAGGTGTGTGTGTGTGGGATGGTGGTTACAAGTTAATAGGTGTAGTGAAGAATGGATAAAAAGTTAGTGGGTGAAGGTAAGGATTCATGGATATGAGTAATGGAATGTGTGTGAAGGAAAGAAGGGTGATGTGGGTGTAGCTAGATTTGTGAAGAGGAAATACATGACTGGGTGGTTGGACAGATATAGGAGGAAAAGGAGGAAGAATGAAGGTGTATGTGTGTGTGGTAATCAGATAGGTTAGAGGGCATGGATGAGGGAATAAGGCAAGATGATGGCAGTAAATGAAAGGATGATAGGTGGAAACTGGTGAGACATGTACAAAGTCGAACTTGAGAATGTAAATTCTGAATGGCAGTGGAAGGGAAAAGGGAATTATAAAAAAAAAAGTGAGAGAAATTGATACAGATAATCCCAAACATATATACATATATATATGACCAAATTCAAATGACTGAAATACCATGTGAGGCATTCGTTGCTGCAGTAGTTGGAAATCTTCTAAAGAGTACATAGGCTGTTGGAGTCCTGTGTAGAAGGCAGGTGGGAGAGCTCCCTGAAGCGCTGCTGCAGGCGGAGAAACATACTGTGAATGCTGTGCCATCATTTGCTGTGCTTGCTGTTGCTGCTGCTGCTGTTGCTGCTGTTGTTGCTGCTGCTGGTGTTGTTGAACCTGCTGATGCTGGTGCTGCTGCTGAGCTTGCTGATGCTGATGCATGTGTGGTGGCTGATGCTGATGTACACCAGGAGGCACTGTACCACCCAACCCACTTATAACTTTACCTGTAAAGTAAGTACCAATTTAATTCTTATTTAGACAATATAAACTTCTTAAGCTATGGAATTGAGATATAAAATATTAAAACTAATTTTCTACATATAACATGTCACCCTTTCCTGCATTCAAGACTGACTGGAACAGGATAGGGTGTGTTAAGGCAAGGGTTTACTGAATAAAACTGCAACAAGGATAACATAAGCACCAAAGGATATGATTCAAACCTGGGACTGATGGCTTCGAAGGCTGGACTGGATGTGAGGAAGCTGAATTTAGGGAAACTGAGAGTACTGCAGGTCCAGTGCTGTTACTAGTGCTGTTGCTGCTAACTGATGCACTTGTTGACAGAGTACTGGAATACGCAGAGCCACCCGTTGATGTCTGCTCTCCATAGCTCTGTATGGGTGGAAATAATTTTACCTAAGCTTTTTTTTTTTCAAAGTAGGTATAATGTTCTGGTAACATTTAACAAAACCAAGGTTACTAAGAAGTAACTTTCATTTCCAACCAATTTTTATATACTATATTGTATAAACTACATCCAGCAGGTATGGCAAAGTTGCACAGCAATTACGAAAAAGCTCCGTATGGAGAAACTTCTCCCAATAATTGTTACCAACAACTTAAAACTATATTTGGCGTAAAATATCGTGAATTTTGCGATATCCAGCAAGCTGAATGCTAGCCACCGTCTTGAATGACGTCACAGCCCTCATACCAGTTAGTCATATCTGCAACAACACGTGTTTTGTCAACGCGATTGATGAATAGGGGAAAGTTGTTTGTAAAACGCAAACTTTTGCGTACGAATGTTGGCTATAGCGCGATTCCATCCTCAACGTTTTAGACGTGGCGCGGGGTTATGCAATGTTTACAGTTCACTTTCAACATCACATGTTCAATTGATTTATGTCTTTTGTTTGTGAGGTGGTTTTAAAGAGGTACTCTGTAAATTTTGTTCTGTTTTTGCAAATTTAGCTGTTACCCATAAATACTGTATGAAAAGAATAAGTAAAAAGAATGTTTCACAGCAAGGACTAATAACGGTATACACCAGCGCTCTCTGTGTACATCACGTGATCAGTTGAATCGCGCGGTTTCTGTCGATTGCTCCGTGATTTTTGCTGTTTTCTCCAATTTTGTTATGTTAGTGATGGATATGGAAAGACAAGGTAAGAAGAATGTTTCCAAGAAGCGTTCTGGTGATCGAATTGCCAGTGGAAATGTAAAAGAGGTTTACAAGAACACAAATATCGCGTTGTAGCCCGCGTCATCTTAGCGACTGCCCGGGCTGCTATTGTGTGCTTTTTTGGGTGGTGCTACCACCTGTCGAGTCAAGATAATGGCCTCTACCTCTACTGGGGGTCCTACTGGTGTTGGTGGGACAGACCCACCTAAGTGGCCAAATAAGGAAAAGGAGAAGTGGGACTATCGTAAGGGAGTTAAGTTTGCAAAGTACTCGATGCAGGATAAGCAGTGAGTGATTAAATTACTTGAGGAAGGCCTAAAAACTTGTTTCCGGAAAGCACAATCAGGTCAATAAAGACAGAATTTGTATCATTTGGAGGTTATAAATGGGAAAATCAGAGGTTGATGTAGAGTGGCCAGTCTATATTGTTATTTTTCCCGTTAGTTTATGTATTTGCATTTGGCGCAATTTTTTCAGTCTATATTACTCACGAAATACAAGATCTTACTGCACGCACGCACTCACACATCCTTGACCACCGTAGGGTCAAGACCTTTTCAGGCGCTGCTCCTGCTGAGCAGCGGCCCCCCTTGGCCAATGTTCGGCCCATTCCTCAAGTCCCTCTCCCCGACCCATCCTCACCACCGGGCTATCAACATAATCAAAAGTGACAATTTCGTATTGGAAAGAAGTGGGACCAGTGTTGAACAGTGTTTAAGCCAGTGAATTCAGCACTCGACAGTACCAGTGAGAGCCGTGACCCACCAGTGAGATAAGCATCCCTGGGAACTGACCGCCATCTTCTGACCAGGAGGTGCTAATCAGTCCACCATGGGAACAACAGTGGGTCGGCTTCACAACTGATTACAACATAACACAACACCACCCAGCAGGGTGAGGTACTGTGACACCATCCCACACCACCAGGTGTCCCCATGACCACGTGAGGTCCTTCATATCAACACCCGAGAACGAGTTACTGCACCATGTGAACACCACACCACCCGGTGTCCCCATGACCACGTGAGGTCCTTCATATCAACACCCGAGGACAAGTTACTACACCACGTGAACACCACTCCACCTGGTAATTCCATGACCCAGGCCATCAACTGTAAACTATAATAATTTGTATGTTCAATCATTGTTCCTTCTTCTTTTAGTAATGAAAGCTTTTGTTAAATGACCCACCCACCCAATGTCTTTGTATGTAATAAGTCATTTTTGTCCAATATATATTTTCAGCCTTCAGAACTTTTTCAATAAACCGTTAATTATTATTATTTCTCGCACGCACACACACACATAAAGTTGGGTCTCAAAGTACAGTACACGCATCCAGAGTACGCAACCCTGCTCATACACATTTGACCCCCTAAATCGGCCTTGCTCTTAGACCTCGCTTTTGCACGAGCCAATCCACCCAGCATATATCGCTACATCAATGTGTTTATCAATTGTCCATGCTGGTTTGGAAAAAATTTAAAATACATAAAAAAATAAATAAATAAAATTCATTACAATACTCTTATGTGGCTTAAAAATTAAGGAAAAAGAATATAAAACTATAAAATAAGAAAAATGAAGAGCATGGGTGTGTATGTGTGGGAAATGAACGTTTGTGTGTGGAGGCAGTGAGAGCTGTAACTGGGTCGCCTACTCACCATTTCAGCTGCCCCCCCCCCCTGAAAATGCGAGTCAGCTGGGTGACTACCTGGCTGAACTGTGACACATCACTCAGAGGATGGCTTAAGTGTGGAAGAAGCTATATTTTGTATAAAAAATAATATATACAGTATCAGTAAATGTGAGGAATAAATAAAAATAATACAATACAGTCGACCCTCGTTAATTCGGACCCCTTTAATCCGGATTTCGGATAAATCGGACGAAATCTGAACTGTCCGTATCAAATTTCTGGTTCTGGGATTGTCCCAGTTGCAATTGGGGTTGCAATTTCAAATTCTGTGTCACTACTAAGGAATAACGAAGTCTCTGGTGCACTGCACTCTAAGATTAAGAGAAAACAGACAACCCAGGCGTCCTGAAGTGAGAGAAAACGGACTCCTATGACGGGGTACTCAAATAAACATACACATAGCAACATGTTTTGTGGACTACCCACTGTACAGTATCCTTTTCATCACTTTGTAATAAACCTGGTCATGCCTATGTGTGTTTCTGATAATTACCATAACATCATATATTTATATATTTAGCGGTTGTACAAACACAAGGCTTCACACATGCCACTCACACTGACAGACTTGACAAGTTTTACCAACCATAAAGACAGTTGAAGCTTTAAACATCACTCACAATGGATCTTGAATATTCCAAATGTAATCAGACATACCTAAGTTGCCTCAACAATTGCAACCCGTTGCAATATCAAATTCTGTCATTACTAAGGAATAACGAAGTCTCTGGTGCAGTGCACTCCAAGATTGAGAGAAAACGGACTCCTATGACAGGGTGCTCAAATAAACATACACATAGCTGTATAATGCAATATTAACCCCTAAATTGGTTAATTCGGACAATCGACTAAAACGGACACCCTTCCCCCACTATTAGTCCGTTTTAACGAGGGTCGACTGTACTAATAAATAAAAGAAAAAAAAGAGCTGCATTTTGTCTTATATTCTAACCCAGGAAATCTTTGCCTTTCTTATTCAATAAATCTTTGTCACTCATATAAATCTTTGCCAACCTTAACCAATAAACCTCAAGTCAATCTTAACGATTAAAACTTTGCTAATATAAATTAACCAACCAATTAATTACTTATAATTTCATAAAGCAAATATTTGGAGCTACCTTTCTGGTGTGCAGAGAGCACTATAAGTACCTGTGTGGCATCCTTAACAGAGGGAGCAGCCGAGAGCCCAGTCAGGGGTTTAGGGGTCGATATGGAGACCAGAGGTGAATGACTAGAGGCATTAACATAGCTGTTCTGGTACTGGCTACTACTGTTGCCTGCACCTGTGGCCTGGTAAAAAATAATAAATAAAAACAAACAAATAAATACTAACCATTATTTTTAAAATAAGGTAGTATGAGCAAGTGAAGAAAAAAAGATGTGGCAAGAAAAGTAACTGTGTATTTAATTTTCCACCATTTTCTGATTTGTTCATTTATGTTCTTCCACACTTTTTTTTACATTAAATTTTAAGCTTTTACCTTTGAACAGTGAAACATGTTGGTGGAAGTCAGTCCCAACTAATAACTCCTATGCTTCTCTCAATTGTATTCAGGTTAGCTGGCTATCTCAGTGATCCCAAAAGCCAATTCTCTCTCTCTATACTTTGTTGAGGCTGTGAAGAATATGTGAAACTCTCAATATTTATAACATCCGTTACTATTCATACTGTACCTTTGTGTTCATAAAAGTACAGCATAACATCATTATTAAAACGTAACAATCATCTGTTAGGCGTCACATACTTCAACATTGTACTTGTATAAAAAAAAAAAAAATTACTCTTCTCTACACAATGTATGTTGTTTCTTTCTTTTTCAACCCCCATGCCAGCACACCGTAACAGCTGCACACAAATCACTCATACCTTTTCAAGAACTCAATTATCTTTCCACTTTCCTCTTGTTTAAAGTCAAGATATTTTTCATCTCACCACTTTCATTTTTTTTCCCACAAAATAATCTCTCACTTCTTCAGTTTTCTAATCTCCATCATTTTAACCCAGCTTATCCCAGTATCCTGTTAACGTATATCTCGGCCTATAAGACGGAATTTGAACCTTAAAAAAATCAGCCCAAAATTTGGGGTCGTCTTAAATACCAGGTGTGAAATTCTTACCTCTTACATATTGTGGTTTAGCGTGTCAAGAGTGGTGATGGAGAACATTGTAAACCACTCACACGGTCCTACCACTAATTATTTTATACTGAAACTTATGTTTGGGAAGCTGGATTAAAAATAAGATTACCGGTATAATAAAATAATAAAAATATTTTATAAACCTGTCTAACATACCGTAAAATAACAACATACCCAGGTAATAAACACAGCTATCATCATGCACCGCTTGCCATTTACCAGTGACGAGACAAAAAAGGGAAAGTGACCACTGTAAGGGGGGGGGGGAAGATAGGGCTATTTTTAGCCTGTCTTTGTGTCTGAGGTGGCCAGTGAGGCATACTGGTATATTTACTGATCATAATACTTATCTCCTATAAATAATTAATTTTAATTTTTTTTTTACAAAGAATATTCAGTAAATGACTGCGATAATTCTTGAAACTACCGACAGTGGTAGCTTTCTTCAAGCTAAATTTAGGATGAGAATGAAGAAGCCGAAGTCACCGTCATCTGATTCAGAATTTGATCCTTAATGATGATGCAACCATAAATGTATCAGGTAAACTTCACCTACCATGTATAGCCTCCCTTTGTCGCAAAACAAGTTTATAAATTAAAGAAAATACTTGCAGTGTGTTTAATATATTACAGTATATTATAAATAAATAAATAAACAAATAAATAAGTAAATCCATTTCAAGTAAATGGAAAAATTTTACTCGACACTGACATTAGCTCCAGTTAAATAACAGACGCTTAAGTGACGTCACTAGTGTTTACACTACACCAGCCGGTAACATCTGATGCCATTACTTGAACTGAATTGGCCTTATTTTAAAAAACCAATGGTAAGTGTCACATTTGGGGTAGTCTTATATAGCAAATAGAGCTCAAAACCTACTTTTTAAATGGAAATTTTGGGGGTCGTCTTATACACTCCGTCGCCTTGTACACCGAGATATATGGTAAGTGCAATCTTTATACTTTAAATAACAATGATCACATAACCCACCCCCCAATGCCTTTCTGTATGATGTGATACTGTATTTTTTGCCAATTTTGCAAAAAAATAAATAAATAGTATACAGTATTCACATTTCATATTGGGTTCAGAAGCCAATAATCCCACAACAGTAAACCCTCAAATTATGCGGGGATTTTGTTAAAAAAAAAAAAAAAAATTGTGTATACAGTACTGAATTCATACAAACTGAACTTAACTTTTTATGTGAATCAAGAGGGTTGCATTACTGGATCTCAAGAATATATTAATAGCCCCTAATGTTTCACTTTTCACCAAGCAATTAAAATATTTAAAACCCAGAAAATATTATACTGTACAAACTGAACACAATTAGTGAATATTAAACAATACTGACAAGTCTGTGCTCACTCCATGTTGCCCTTTTCTTTAATTTATGCACTGGTTAATGCCCTGACTAGTACAGAATTTTCATTTTTAATTGCTAGTTAAAACAGACTGTGTCCTCTTGGTCCCAGAAGAAGTAGTAGCAGTAGTAGGAGAAGGATGAGAGGGTTTCTGCCCTGCCTGAAGTCACTCTCTCAATAGTTTAAAAGCATGATCCACTACAGTTCACACATGGTCACTCAGGGATGCTAGAGAAAACTACTGCTATGGCACACCACAGACAATAAGTTTACAAAAACCGAATAAAACTTATCAGGGACTAGTTCTCTTAAGGCTAAATATATTACATAACTTGTGTATAGTATTTCTATAGCTGACAGTACCAAAGCTCACATTATAAAACAGACCAAGTATTTCATATTTTTCATCTAATAGTATGTGTAGTGTTACAACAAAATTATGTTGACAAACTCGTATAAATCAAAGGTTTACTGTACCTTCTTTTCCATCTCCCAGATCAACCATTCCAAGAGCACCCAGTCTTGCTCTTTTACATCTGTAGTTTAGTTCACCATTATATATAATCTATGTGAAAAAAATATTATGTTTAAAAGGAGAATTTGTCAAGACTTACCTGAGCAGAAAAGCTGGAACCATAGCCTCCTGGTGTTTGGCTGCTATTGGTACTATTATTACTGTTAGTGCCTCCAGTTCCACTGTTGGCATTACTGTAGCCACTGTTGTTACTATTACTAGTACCACTGCTTCCTTGCTGGTTGCTGGTTGTGTATGAATTCTGAGGAAAAGGAAACTACATTATAACTACATTCCACAAGATTTCAAGCACTGACAACAAAAAGTCTATCAATCTCTGCATTACCTTCTGTTACCACCACCCTCACTCAGTATTATTGCAATTATGGGAAGATGATAAAAGTAATAAGAAAGTGTTGTTGTTTACTAAGCAAGGAGATGATGGCGCCATCGTCTCTGCCCTTGACGATAAAACATGGCAGGTCCCCGACCTGTGACCTCGCCAGATGTGTGTGGGGGGTGTTGGTCGCTCTAGCTGGCACTGAGGCAGGATTGGGCAGATATTTTGAGTGAACACACACTAGCCACCACAGGGGTTACTTGGAACGATACTAGGAGTTAAGTGAAGCGATAAGCCTACACACGTGAGTGAAAGATCAGTGATTGTTTGAGTGTGGTGAAATGTTTGAAACAAAGGCATAGTATACAGAATAATGTATCTATTAACTGAAGTACATATAATGGAATGTAATCAGTAGTTAACAAGTGTCTCGTTCTTTACGGGTTTTGACCATATCGACCAATAATGATTGAGTGCGTCAACATTGTGCGTTTCTCTCACCCTTAAAATGTGATGTCATCTAATTGTCGAACCATTCGGCAGTTAAACCTACCCAGACATGAGGGATGGTATCTTAATTGGTTGGTTTACATGTATTATGGTCAGTGAGTAGTTAAAATTCCCAAGAGGCCTAATAAATAGGATAAATATCAACAAAACAGTTGAATCCATGCCTTCACATGCCCTTAAAATGCATCCAAACTTCCCCAAACTTCAAATATAATGCAAGTAAGGGAATATTTTCAATACCCCCCCTCTCACTGGCTTCTTTTTCCTATTCTTCTGATACTTTCAAAACTACTTTTCAATGGGTTAATATAAAGGAAGTACAGTAAACACTTTTACACAGCCATAAAAAGCAATCCATATATGTATTGGGGATGGAAAAAGATACAAAATAATTGAGAAACCTGTCAAGGTTATTATTCAAGAGTTAGAGCTATAGCCCTTCAATGTGAACAGCATTAGTCACACCATTTTAATTATGACTGCCTCTGGTGTTAAAAGTGATAAGTACTGCTACCTTCTGGCAGCAACCCAAAAACAAAACTTGATGAGTTTATCTATTATTTAGTACAAATGTGTTCCACTCCCAACACACACATGGGCTGTTTTTTATGACTGTTAATTGTTTACTTCTTTGTGAAGAACCCTGTACAGCATATATAAACACACACACTTTATCAATAGTAAAAAGAGTAAAGAATCTGAGATGCTCCCTACCCAACACTACAGCCCAGCTGTGTTGATTCATATCAGAACACTTTAAAGATAGAAAATTCACCATAAAACACCAATGAACACTTAACACCATTTTTATCACTTATAAAAAGTACAGGTACTGTATAGAACCTGTTACTGACAGAAAATTGAGATTACTCTGCAACTTGACTAATGGACCAGACTGTGTATCCACAGCTGCCTTAGTGATGATTCTAATTTATTATAATTGAGTCCAAACCTAATTCTGGATTGTGTCATCAGCCAGCAAGAGGTTGAGATTTGTCCAAGTGGCCATAAGTTTGAGGGGTTAATACAGGAATAGAGGATCTATGGACAACCACTGTAAATACTGTACACGAAGAGGACAAGCTTTTGTCTGCCTCTGTGAACATGCTACATCTCTAAATGGGAACAAGAGCAATGTTTGTGTAAATATATCTTTGAGATTAATTTAAGTTCCAATGCTCTCACATCACACAACGGTTTTCCAGTATAAACTTGATACTGACACCCATTCTGTTTAGCCCTCAGTTTTGTTATTACACCTGTACAATGATTCCTTTTCCACTAAATAGCTTGAACAAGTCACATGAAATACATAAAATGGGTGTAAATGGCAACTGATTTCCCTGTAAAACTAGCATACATTAAATAGTGTCCTGGATAATTGACAAAATTTTAGCAATAATTAATAGTTTTCATTGATTCAGCTTCCTGTTATACTACAACAAAGCATAGCCTGCAATATAATATAGTTTTAAATAAAAGATTAAATATTTGACACCTTACATAATTTTAAGGAAAATCCTTTCTCTATCTAATTACTAGGTATAATAATATTCACTCCATTCTCAGAAAACTGTGGGAAAAGATGATAAATTGATGCTTAAGTCCCAATTTATAATTGAAAATTAATCCAGTGATTCAAGTCACATAGCCAGCTAAATCTATATCACAATCAAGAAACTCCTTATGATAAAAGCTAGGTGCTAAATAATTGACTATTCCTTCCCACTAAAACCAATAACACCATATCCCTAAAAGATATTTAAACTAGGCATTCCAATTTGAGAAAGATCTGTATGTTTAATGACAGAGGAGCACTGACCAACACTAGGGTGGTCCCGAAATGGGGGTTAAATTTTTTTTTTCAGAATATGATCACAACCACCCTGCCCTTTTATAAGAACTACCAAAATAATATAACCCAAACAATTTCAACCAAATTGAGGGATGTTTAGGGGTGCCACCAGCCAGGGGCACAACTTGACACAACTTACTTAATATATATATATATTATATAATGGCAGATTGTTGACATGTTGTGCAGGTGTCTGTATTCTGTCAATCCATGAATGAGCTTAGGTCTATCTGTGAGTGCCACATATCCAATTGGACTTATAGAGAATTTTTTGTCACTTCTTTGTACTCATTATCAAGCTCAACATCCTAGACTCTACAAACTGGATGTTGGGTGTGAGTTTGTGTTACCTATTGTCCCTAAATTATATATCATATAATACTAATAATAGTAATGGTTTCTCTTTTTAGATGGCTAGTACTAGTGGTAGTGGCACAAAGCCAAAGACAAGGAAAGACAATGAAGTATGGTTGATTGGGCCAACTGCACACGCTTTGACTGGTCTAAAACTGCCTTCTACTGGGGAAGTTATGAGTTTGTTCTTTCAAATTCACAAAGTCAACAAAGCAACCATCAAAGAGAGTGCCAAGGAAGTGATCAAGCAAGTACTCCCATTTTGGGAAATGGCAAGAATACCAACTTGCTCAGAAATTCATGCCCGAGAAAGAGTTGAAAAAATGTTTGTGAAATGGAAAAGCCTTCAAAAAGCTGCCAAGAGGAGAAGCCAAGCTCAGCAAATAAAGGAAGAAGTTTTCAAAGAACAATTAAGTAAACTATTTGACATTGCTCATGCAAATGCTTTGACAATGATCAAAATTGAAGAAGATCGGCAATTCCTTCTAGCACAACGAGATGGAAGGAAAGGATACTTGGGTAGAGTTGATAAAGAACTAGCAGCAAAAGAAGTCCGCTTGGCAATACGAAAAGAAGAAGAACGTGCTCGCTTTTCAAAAGCTTTGGAACAGAAAACAAAAGAAGATGAAAAACAAGGAATGAATCCGCCATTCTCATCATCATCTGAGTCTGAGGAACAAGTAAATTCTTCAGCGTCAGAGTGTTCTCCTCCCAAAAAATCAAAACCTGGGAAACCACGTGCAAAAAACATAATGTCCCCTGTTCTGGCCAAAGCACTAGATCGCACCAAGATTAGTGATCGTGATGCTGTGCATTTGATTGCTGCAGCAGCTCAAACTTTAGGTCACAACGTGGAAGACATAGCAGTCAACCGGAAGACAATTCGACAATCAAGAATGAAGTTGAGAGTTCAGTCTTTTAAGTCTGCCAAAGAACAATTTATACTTAATCTTGATCCAACAATCCCTCTTGTTGTTCATTGGGATGGAAAGCTACTTCCTGAAACAGCTGGTGGTAAAGAAACTTATGATCGATTGCCAATCATTGTGTCCTATGAAGAGAATGAACAATTGCTGAATGTATCAAAGTTGCCCAATGGAACTGGTGAAGCGATGGCTAATGCTGTGGTTGAAGTGGTCAAAGATTGGAAATTAAAAGACTATATAGTGGCAATGTCTTTTGACACTACAAGCAGCAACACTGGACGCCACACTGGGGCCTGTAAGCTCATCGAAATTAAACTGGAGAAAAATCTCCTATGGTTGCCATGCCGTCATCATGTGCATGAGGTTGTGATCGGTGGAGTATTTGACCGTGTAATGGGTCCATCAACTGGGCCAGATATACTTGTTTTTAAGAGATTTCAAGCATTTTGGCCCAACATTGTGCAGAGTGACTACAGTACAGCTGCCACTGATCAAGAAATGGATTTGGTTGTGACTGAAAATCGAGAAGGTCTGCTGAAAAATGCATTGAGCTTCCTTAATGATAATCAGCCACGGGAAGACTATAGAGAATTACTCGAATTGGTTGTTATATTCCTGGGAGGAACTCCACACCGCAAGATATCTTTCAGGAAGCCTGGGGCCATGCACAGAGCCAGGTGGATGGCAAAGCTGTTGTATTCCTTCAAAATATGGATGTTCCGGTCACAATTCAAGTTGACAGCCCGAGAAGTCAAAGGACTCGGTAGGGTGGTTCGATTTGCTGTCCTTGTATACTTTAAAGCATGGTTCCTGGCTACTTTGCCAGTTCAAGCTCCAGCAAATGACCTGCTCTTCCTGAAGAAGATTTCTGACGACACAAAAGTTGACAAGGAGGTTTCAGAAGAGGCTTGCCGCAAATTTATCAATCATCTGTGGTACCTCAATGAAGAAGTTGTTGGCTTTGCCTTCTTTGATATGAATGTTGGTGATGAAACAAAGCAGAGGATGGTGGACAGTCTAAAAAAAGGCTCAAAATGGTAACCGCATGAAGGCAGTGGTTAAGCCTCAAGACGTGAATGACATTCACCTTGAAGATTTTGTGTCTTCTGCAACAAGTAAATTTTTTGACATGCTCAATCTGCCAACTGACTTTCTACAGTTGTCCCCATCTTTGTGGCAAACTAATGCAGGTTATTGCAAAGCACAAAAGAAGCTCAAGACAATGAAAGTGGTTAACGATGTGGCTGAAAGAGGTGTGGCACTCATCCAAGATTACATCCATGTAATAACAAAGGATGAGGAACAACGCCAATTTCTACTCCAGGTGGTCAGTGATCATCGAAAGAACTTTCCAAACTCTCTAAAAAGGACTGTAATAGAGGCACTCAAGAAGAATGACCTGTGTTGCTAAATTTCATTGATTTTGCTGTATTACAACTATTAACAACTAACTGTATTGATATTGACTATGTATTGTATACGATTTACACATTTACCGGTACTTGTTCAATATAAAAACTAGATAGTCTTTGTGGCACCTCTAAATTTTATCCAAATTTTTTAAAAAATGACAGATCATTGTTTTAATAGTATACACACACTTAGGCAGGGTGGTCGTTGAAATTTAAACCAAAAAAATTTCGGGACCACCCTAACCAACACCACTCCGTTGATCCAGTCATATGTCATATGTTTGGTAGATTGGAGGGTTTCTGAGCCACTAACTCAGGTTTTGGTTATAAAATGGGATTTCAGGATTTCGTTTATAGCCAACCAGACAAATGCAGTATGTGACTTGTATTAAGTCTGACATTGGGAGGAGGTAGCAAATAAAGCTCTAAGCACTGTCTTGCTGAGGGCCTCTCAGCCATGCAACTTGCTAGTTTGAAGAAAAAAGAAATTCTGATACTAAGCTTTCTTTTTACTATTATCTACTCAACAACAAACAGAACTTTACACTCATATTTAATTTGATTTGTCTAACAGGTAAAATAAAAGAAATGAAAATGACATGGCTTGCCCATTGAGGTTGGCACACATTGATATACTTTAAAACAAACTTAACTTTTTTAAGTAATTTTAGTCATGAAAATTTGCTATGCACTTCATGCTTTCTCTAATTGACAATTCCTCCTCTTTCTTGTTTCCTTGTTAGTGTTGATTATTAACAACAATTTGTTAAACAAGGCACCTAACTTTAAACATCTTGTGTACAGGGGTCTCTCTGTGCCGAATAAAACCACCTAGCTTTCGAAAAAAAAAGAAAAAAAGTGACATCCCAAAAGTGAAGGGATAAGGTACAGTTCTCTTTATATTTGGTACGCTACATATGTGACTCACTTATTTTGCTGAACAGGATATTAATGTACACTCCAAATGTTTAAGATTATATGTTTAAGAACAAGTGAAGAGCACTGTAATGCTATCTTATGGAGTATTTTTTTTTAATAAAAATTGTAGTAAGGTGAACTCTTCATGGTTCACAAAAAGTTTGTCTCTTAAGGTTTGAGTATTCAAAGTTATGCAGTACAGGGAAGGGTTGAGTACTGCTGTGGAAAATCTTGTTGTGCTGGAATGTCCCATGATCTGGATTATTCTATGTAATTATTAGTTCAGTACATCGTACTGAATACTCATTGGCCCAGCCAAATCATGTTACAACTGAAACAGACCTTCTACAAATGGAAACACAAATTTTTTTAGAGACCTACAGAATCTGTTTATAGGTAAATGAACTAGTTCCTCTCTCAGCACCTAGTTGCTATTTCATAAGGACTTGCTGGGTATTAGACCATAGATTTAGCAAACTGCACGAGTCGAGTCACTCATTAAAGCTGTCAGGCTAAAACAGTAAACACACGCCACTTTCATGATGCAATATATCCTGACTGAATCAAACTGTGGAGGTAAACTGCTTGAGGAAGAGGCAGGAACATTGTTATATCAGGTTTGTAAGTACAGCAAGGCAGGCAATGGACAGTGTTACCTGAGAGGGCGTCTGTGAGTAAGGGGCAGAGGGTGGGGATGGGAAGGAAGAGGAGGACTTGGAGCTGGTGTAAGACTGGTAAGTTGGGCCAGCAGACCCCACCAAACTCCCTAGGCCACCTGTGCCACCACCAGTCTCATTCTTGGCCAGGTCAGACAGACCCTGAGGTGCAGCACTGTTGCTGGCACTGCTACGTTGGTTTCCAGACACGAAGGCCCCTCCAGAGGGCTTGCGCTCACTCGTTTGAGAGGTGGGGAATGGAATGGGCTCAGGTCCAAGCTGCAAGAGTGAGCACCACTAAATTGTTAGGCAAAACACACTGGCTTTTTAGCTGATTCACTACTCACTGTCTCATGCTTGTTACTCAAGCTAAATAGCCATTTATAAGGGTTTAAGCAAGCCACACACAAATGCAAATTATAGAGAACCTACGGTATCAACCACACACAATACTTCACATGGTCGGTGAAAACAAACATTACTGAAACTGTTACTCACAGATATCAACATAAGTAAATCTATTTATCAATGGAGATCTCTCTTTGGCAGTATCCTAGCAGCTTGTTATTGATATACCTTCAAACAGTAGCACCTTTTTGATTCAACAATCTTTATCATGATCTAGTATAACATTTTACACTAGTTACTGATGCATATAGTGTACACCAATTACACTCTAAAAAAAAGCTTTGTGAGTGTTAGTAATTTGAATATCAACTTTTGCAGTTTCCAACAAAATGTAGAGAAACAATATAAGTGATAAATTTAAATGGTAAAAGCTATTCTGATTTCTGTGCAATAAACTTTTCCTATAGTTTTCGAAAGATTATCATAAAACTTGATACGCATGATGTAGATGAATTAATAGAGCATTTGTGTCTAGATGGCTCCAGTCCAGATGACCATCAACACAGTAAGAAAGATGTGGCATCCTTAGACGACTGTTGGTAAAACCTCATGATATTTTGTAACTGAAACCATGCACCTACATATTATCTAGATGGGGTGCACAAAACTTGAGACTTCACAATATGCTGTGTACAGCTCCTCCCCAACTTACGACGGGGTTAGGGACCCAAATCCAGGTCGTAAGTCGAAAATAATACAGTGGTCCCTTGATTAACAAACACAATTGGTTCCAACTCACAGAAAAAGTAAAGCCAAAAAATGCATAAAGTCAGAAACACTTAAAAATCCCCAAAATTGGCCTTAAAAATAAATAAATATCACACACACACACACACTAGAACTCTTAAATCACTACAAGTAATTAATTTTTATCTCTTGTGCAAAATATATGACATTTATATTCAAATTATTCACTGTCTTGCAAGGATTCCAGCAATGTAAATTATATTCTCCTAACTTTAGTCTGTGATATTATATAAGATAAAAACTTAAAGCCTACTGTATAACCACCAAACCTTTGCTGGGAGGGGGGAAGGAGGGAGGGGTGACAGTGACATGTTTGACAGTTAGCGCTGAAGGTCTAGTGAAGTATTTATTTGTTTATTTATGTCCTTTAGGTTGAGATTTTGTTTTTTGCTTGTAAAATGTCATAGAAGAGACTGGGGAAAATATAATTTACATTGCTGGAATTCTTATAAGATAGTGATTAGCTTGAATATAAACGTCATATATTTTGCACAAGAGATAAAAATTTTAGTACATAGTACATTTTAATAATGTAAACATTTTTCAACTGTATCTTTGGGTAGATTTACATAAATTTCTGGGTGTCTTTTTCTTCTCAGCACGGAGAACTCTCACTTTTAAGCTTGTCTGTGTACTGACGTTGGGACTCGAAAATACGTAATCTGTCAAAATTTTGGTACAACTGAGGCAGGGCAGGTCGTAAGTGCGGGTGGTCGTAAGTCGAGTAGGTCGTAAGTCAGGGAGGAGCTGTATTATCAATAAAATAAATTTAAGATGATGGTGAATGCTGTACCTTTTGAGTCTGTGGGAGGGAAGACGAGAGAGATACAGAGGTGAGATCTTTGGTGACGGGAGGAGTAGAAGATGATGGGTCACGGGTGTTGACAGGCGTGGTGCTCCCAAGACCAGTATTGCTTGAACTTGTCTTTACATCAGTTGTAAAATCAAAAGTTTCAGTACCAAATTCTAATCCACTGAATTGCACATCGAGTGCTGCCATAGCATCTTCTGGCATCTCCACAGCAGAGAGAGGTATCTGATAAAAAGGATATATTACTGATACAGTAAACATATGTATGAATTTACAATACCTTTTAATGAGACATGAGTGCTCTTTATTTCTATGTTCTAGAACTATTTCATTACCAAAGACATGAAATTAAATATACCATATTGACATGAAATACCCAAATCCTGCTATGATTCAGCTTATAATACAAATTGAGGAGATGATCTTAAAATCCTTTTCTTTTTTCAGCAGAGCCCAGCCAAGCAAATCTCATTACTACCCATACCTGAAATGAGGAGGAGTGTTTATCATACTTTATATACCCTTGGCAGCTGGGGGTAGATCTTATAATCAACAATCCCTTCACCACAACCATCAACCCAAGCAAGGTAAATCAGATGCAAAGATTGATCAGCTATATTTGCCATGATTCTAGGACTAATCCACCATCTTGGTTCCATTCAGTTTTCCAGGTGTCTGTAATACACAAATACAGGGAGTAGAGAGGTTATCAGAGCTACTTGGCTACCACTCGAAAAAAAAAAAATAGGAACACAACCCAAGTCATTCATTCTGTGTATGCCACCACTTTGTTTACGAGTGTGCCAGGCTTTTTGGTTAGTTGTACGTGTTGGCTTTAATTAATATATAGCATATCATAAAATATAATACCACATATTTCATGAAAAAAAAAATAGCTCAGAGAAAGTGTGTGTGGAACAGGTGGGGTTTCCTGTGTACCCCACAAACCACAGTCAGCTAGTGGTTTTCCTGGCAAAATTAGCCAACACATACCTCGATAAACTCATAGTAGGAAAATGCATGCCCCCAGCAATCCCAGTCCAGTGAGGAACTATTCACTGTTGTCCCTCACACGCTTCACACATGCCAGCATTAATGCTGGCCACTTCCAACACATGAGCCCAAACTCAGAGAAGATATGACTATTAGGGAATGAAACTTTATAAAACAATATCAATAAGACAGTATCAGTGTTACCATGAAAACATCTAAAACCACGAATGACTCGGACAAATATAATCAGTATCAAAACATGGTACAAATTTGACTTTTACCAGCAATCAAGCAGCACAAGAGGAAAGAAGCTGGTGAGCCCATTCCCAGAGCTTATTAGTTGGGGACTGACTGAATCCAAGATGGCATAATGGTCCTGGAATCATTGTGGCTGTAACTGTAAGGGTACATAATTATATGGACTTAAGCAAACATGGGTAGTAATAAACCACCAGCTTCTAGAGCAGGGGTGGTGCAAAGTGCGGCCTGCGGGCCACATTTGGCCCGCCAAATTATTTCTGTAGCCTGCCACTGCATTTGGCAATCAGAAAAAAAAATTCTTATTAATTACAGAAAGGACAATTTTGGAAGTTGGGTGGACAAAGCAGCAATACTGGCTCGTCGCTGTTAACCTGTGGCCCGCGAAGTGTGCCACCATTCATGAAGTGGCCCTCCATCAAAAATAATTGCCCACCCCTGTTCTAGAGGGTAGCCCTTGCATCTAATTGTCTTCATCCGAGACCAATGGATATGAGGAAGAGGGATGGGTGTTCATAAGATCAGCCCACAGCTGCCAAGGAGAGTAAGGCATGATGGAACACTCCCATCCACAGTCCAGGTAAGTGCAGTAACAATAGTCACTCAATACTCCTAATGAGTCTGTCCAATAAAACATCCAATATAACTGGTGCACTCTCTTTACCTTGGAGGCCTGGGGTATCCGAGGTCTCTGTGTCTTTGGACGAGAAGGCAGAGTAGAACTTACAGTTGATAAACTAACAACTTTGTTCATTACATTGCTGCTGTTGCTTATACTGCTCGCAAGACTACTTGTTACCACACTGTGAAGACCTGTAGGAGAGAAAGAATAAATTTACTTATTGAATCTCTATATGAAGTAGACCTTTCTAAGCCGATCTTGATCTTGTTTCTCACTAAAGCTCTTCATGACATATTGATATCTTGTGATGGTTCTCTAATTCCACCGCCGAACACAAAAATTCAAGCCAGAATCGATCTAACCTCTGACCTCTCTTGAATACCTAACTCAAAATAATTTATATGCTACAAGGTACTGAAAATACTGTCATCATATCTATGGAAGATCCAACTACATATACAATACCTACTTGACAGTCTAGAGTCGCATTATTAACTCTTCCCTTCAAACATGAAAGCTTGATTCTCTCCATTTGCCACAATGTTAGTCGTCTTTAATCTATTGATATTACTTCCGCTTCTGGTACAAAAAGCTGGCTGTTTGCATCCCCAACCCCAGCATACGGAAGTAAAGTGATGAAAATAAGTGGTGAAACGAGGGGGACAAATATTTTAGGCAGGTAAGTGTTAATTCAAGGAATTTCTAAGTCTGTGATGCTTTTTACACCAGACACAGCCATGTCTCAGAATGCAGGTTAGTATTGAATATGAAGCTACATGGGAAATACCATCTACAATAATCTCTATAATAGGAGCTCAAACTTCTGCCCAAATAGGAGTCAAGAGTACCATTACAGAGCTACCATAGTAATCTACAATCAAGACTCCCAGGTGAATCCTCACCACCTAAAAATGAACCTATGACAGTTATAAACTTAATAATAATGAAACCACAAAGAAATAAAAAATTATGTATCAAATCTGAAGTTGAAGGTAAGAAACTTTACCTCCACCCTCCATTTGGCATGAAAGAGGATGTACAATCAAATAGGCTTTAGAACACAGATGAAGGAGAGATAACACATTCCTACTGGAACATTTCTATGTAAAATTACAGCAGTAAAGGGGGTTAATAACTGTAAAAATTACACAACTGTAAATACAATACACTACAGTATATAATGGGAAAATAAGGGTTCAGATACCAATGAGACCATCATCACTGCTTGATGGACATTTCCCACATGAATTTCATAAAGCAAATAAATGAATCAATACAAAGGAAATATACAAAAATTAAATCAAGAATTTTAATTATTACAGTATCCTTATTAGAAACTGGCCATTATTAAAAACCTACCAGAACTAGAGAAGATGGCTGCCTGCAGCTGAGCTGTGGGAGTCGAGTAGGGTGGTGGAGCTGATGATGCAGGTGATGGAGCAGTGGCAGACACACCAACACTTCCAACAAGTCCTCCAGCTTTTAAACTCTCCCCTACATTGGTACTCAGACCACTTAATATACCGTGTTGAGTGCCAACAGTCAATCCCGGTGCGGGGGACACCAGTGGAGCTCCACCTCCCCTACAACCCCCGCCTCCACCATTACTCGTATTGTTGCTACTACCTAGTGGGGTAGACGAAACCAACCCAGTAAGAGTGGACTGTGGGGCTGCCTTTTGTAACAAGGCAGCTAAATCCATAGTCTGGGGCTGAGTGATGGAAGCTGTGGAAGCCGTGGTCGAAGAGTAAGTTGAAGCCGTAGTTGAGGTGAAGGTCGTGGCCGTGGCAGAGGAGTAAGTCGAAGCAGGTGTTGGGGGGTATACTTGTGGTGGAGTAGTGGTATACACCTGGGAAGGTGCCAGAGACACTGCTGGGCCCACTGATGGACTTCCCACTGCCATTGTATCAGCAAGAGACTCTGATAGTGATGGTGTCAAGGTAGATGTGCTGGAACTGCTAGACGGACCAAATACTGTAGTTTGTTCTAATGACCCAGTCCATTCACCGTCCCAGTCATCTCCACCTGATGGTGGTTCATCATCCCAATTATCTGCAAATTGTCAAGATATAATGAATACTGGCACTTGCTCTGAAAGTCTACATTGCATTAAATTATATTTAACATTCAAGGTAAAACACGAAGAAGCATGTGAAAGCAATTATGACAGATGGTGGTACTGGTATTCTTAAGAGGTAGAGTTGGAATCATATTGAAAACAGGTCACAATGCATTAAACTAAACACAAGCTCAACTGACTTTTGGCAGGTTATTATAATTCAATAATATAATTCCACTTTTATATGTGACTTTAAAAATAAAAATTTAAAGAAAACCATTACCCCCTACAGGCCTACAATCAGTAAACTGTGATACTGTACATCTGATGAACTAAAGTAGAGAAAAATCTCACCTATCTTCAGACTGTTTTGATGGTTAGGCTTGTCATCTGTAAGAGGCCCCCAGGTGTCTATGGAATCTGGAAAACCCGGTGTTTGCCGATTTTGGAATGTTCGTGGACCCATAGAGCTCCCCCGGCCACGTCCCCCCCGACCTCTGGCCATGGGAGTTCCATTTGTCATCCTTCCACGCCGTGAGCCTTCACCACGACCTGGACCATCCCAACTTTCACTGCAAATTTAAAGTGACAAATATGTACAACATTTAACAAATTTAAGAACATCTTTAAACACAGAGTAAATTAAGTCAAAATTATGCTTCTGCAACAAACAGTTTATACCCATCAATAAACAATGTCACCTATATGTATTCTTAAACTTATATGCACCGGAACCCATAATTCATTGTCTTCAATATAAGAAATTTAAATGCAGTAGTAACAAATTCATTACAGAACTTGGCAATGCATGAATTATAACCCTGAGCCCTAGGATGTAAACTCGGGTTAACCATCACATATTAAAGACTGGGACTAATTCACAAATTAAATACACTTCTCATTAACAACCTAATCCTTGAAGGGATCTTTAGAGGCAATAATACCAATAAAGATTGAGAAGCAATGAATCGTGAGTGCCACATCAGCAGACATGCAATGTCAGTCCTACTAATATTATCAGGTGACAATCCACCCAGTTCCAGCTGACTTCCTAACTAACCCAAAACTGGAATCATCCTCATATTTTCTAAACATTAACTTATATTGAAATTAATACAATTGAATAACAATATCATTCAGCTTTCTTAGCACTAGTGCTGTCACTATAATTACCTTTACCTTATTTACCCAATTGCAATCCACTAAAGGTGGCCATGCCAAGGGAAGAAGATCAGTGACCTGTGTAGGATCCCTCCACTGTTCTTGATAATGGACGAGTTGACAGTTGGATTTTTTTTGTAAGATGGCAGGTCAATGGGTAAAGAAAGTGTTTAAATTCACTATGGTAATGATATTTTTAAACAAATTGGGCCAAAAAGTGTCAAAAATAAGGGTTAAAGTTGCTAAAAAAGTCATGTGACTGCAAAGAGCTCTGTGATTAGGTAAGGGGGGGGGTAGTAACTCAAAACTAGTTATTTCCGATAGAAATGAAAGTCTAAATCGTTCATAACACATCGCAAACCACCAGTAAAAAACATAGTCTGCATGTCTAAGTCCAGGGAAGGCCAAAACTTAAAATATACCCAATACAGGTATAGCCTATCTCGAATCTAAAATTCCAAATACTTATGGTAGTTAAAGTAAAATTTTACCCATTAATTAACATGATGATATATCCCAGTGGTTCATAAGTGAATCATCAAAACAATAACAGCACTATGTTGTCATATTTAGCTAACATCAGGCAATATCAAAACAAAGTCCAGACAATGCCATCACTTCTAAATTTACTCGTATCTCCATCTACAGTAGTACTGATATACTTTGTAAATGTACTGAAAAAAGAAAAAGAAAAAAAGTCTACCGGGTAAGAGAGTATGAAAGCTGAGCTGGTGTGAACATGGGAGTTCTTTATGTCCAAAAGACCATAAGCATGGAGGACACTGCAGCGGGTCATACTGGGCAGCCCCATTTACACGCGACCCCTATCGCTCATATATCCATCCAACCTATGTTTGAAGCTGCTCTTCATGGCTCATTTCTTCACTTACGAAATGTCCATGACTTGACCATAAAAAAACACCCTGAACGTGGCATTTGGGGTCTGAAGAGGCCATCCTTTCTACTACCTACGACTGCAGCCCAGCAGCATTTGAAACTAGTGACGTCATTGCAAATGGCGGTCCTGTTTCCAGAGGAATAAACTTATCTCGACTATTATAGCAGGACTTTTAAACTTTTATTACAAATTATATATACCGTATCACTCTATGAGCGTGGCAGAGTGTATTTCCTGTGTTTACCCAGAACTGTCAAATCATCCATTTTGTCAAGGGCTCTTTTGAAACCCAGTATTGCTGTTGATTCCAGAGCTTGGGCTGGTAGACTGTCCCATAGGTCTACCAGCCTCTGTGAAAAAGTATTTCCTTATATTCGTACTGCATGATAATTAAGCAAGTTTATAGTTGTCTTTTTGTGTTGGTGGTACATGACACCACAAAGAAATGTTCCGGGTTCACGTATACTTGAAGGAGCATTCTATTTTTGTATTCAAAGGTACACTTTACTGTATATTTCCCAAATCTCAATTTTTTTCACGGTGAATGATCCACCACACCGCTTACATCTTTCTCCTTATCAACAGTATCAAGGAAAGTGCCCTTAACAGAAGAGTTGTGATTAGGATTGTTGTATCTTACATGTAGGATCTTGCATTTCATAATGTTAAAGAGCATTTGCCAGTCTCGAGACCAGTTGAACAGCTCATGCATGTCTTTCTGCATTGTTATGACATCATCTTGACTTGCTACCTTCCCAAATATCTTCGTGTCGTCCGCAAACTTGATAATGTGGTTCGATGCTTTCATCCATGTCACTATACAGTAATCCCTATAGTACTGCCTTAACCAAGAGAGTCTGTATATACTTGTAAAGAAAACATTTATTAGCTTGAATTCTATTACATCACACATCAAAACACTGTTGGAAATATTCTCACCCGTCTCGGCCACCTCGACCACTGCCACTACCTCGTCCTCTGAACCTGGGTGGACCGCCACCCCTGGGCCTGGATCCACTACGTTCACGGGAATTAACCCGCCGATTTTCCTTGTTACTTTCTGTCTCAGTTGGCTGAAAGAGAATTAACACCTGTCATTTACAATAACAGCCACCAAGGTAGCCAATTTTATACAGTATCAAGACTTCGTATTAAGAAAATATATATATTTTTAGAAAATATACTTTGTCATGCCATAAGAAAGTCAACTCTTTGACTAAAGTTACACAAACCATTCACCAAAATGCCAAAGGGTAATGACACCTACATACATGAGAAGCATTTGGAAATTTTTTTGCCAAAGATGAGATAATCTTTTTTTTTTCCACATAGTAGTCTTCTTAAAAATGTAAAACACAATTGTAAAATAAGCCATAAACCATATTAAGCTTCCCTATTTAACTGCAAAGTTGTCATTAGATGTGAAACTGCTCAATTTTATCGTCTCACACTTACTAATCTACTATTCTCACACTACCATTTATGCCATGAATTTTGGAAATAATCATAGAACAACAACAATATCCAGTAACACCCATTTAGTACTTATTAAGGTGATGGATTTGGCTCAGTTGTGTGAGGCAACAGTGGTACACCATAATGATATCTGGGGCTTTGTTGTGCAAATGAAGTACCATAACAGAACACATATCTCACAGGTGTTTTTTATTTGAAGATAATAATGAGAAACAGGAAATCAAATGACTTATTTTAATTCCAGCCACTCTGCATAATGGGAAAACACATGATCATCCGGCATTGGCCAAATAAAATATCACAGGTGGGTGAACTAAATAAGAACCTGGCAGAAACCAAAGACCCTTAGGTTAGGACAGATGAAGATTGTTGTATTCACCGAGACATAAAACTGAAAACAAAGAATTCCACAGATTTGCTGACACTGACAGGAGACTACTATTCCCAGACTGAGCCAAAGCCAGAAAATGAGTAAGGTGTCAAAACAGTATGTGCAGGAGTAGAAGATGGAGACACTGTCTCATGTCCATATACAGGGGAGAAGAACAACACTACTGTATTACTTTGGGTTAATACAACTAAGTTAAAACAGTTATTAACATTCTCGGGGACACATGAAATTTATTTAATGAGCCCGTCACTGGCTCTGTTTGGAGCTCGCAGAATAACCAGAAATCGTGTTGAAGATAATTTTTTACCGATCCTTTTTCGTGGCTAAGATATTGTCAAATATTTATTCACATGAACCCTATTTTGTTATCTGCTTGGAGTACAGAATGCATGCTCAGAATCACAGTTGCATCAGACTCTTACCTCTCACCTTACTGATCAAATCCAGTTAAGAAGAAACCCCTCTGTAACTTGCGGTTACATATACATACAGTACAGTAATTTTTTAAGAGGATCTAAAATATTTTATAATTTTCAGCTAATGATATTAAGTAAACAAAGAAACAGATTATCCATATTATAGTAATATGTTGTGCACACCAGTGTTTGCAATTTAAACATAATTTACCTTTTGCTATTAAGTTAAATAAGGTGTCAAAGTAAACAGCTTTCTATGTAGGCCTACCCAGTATCTGTCAACTATTGAAATTTGAATGTTTTTTTTTAATGTCTCGTAAAATTTTGGAAGGGCTAATAAACTTTGGGAAAAGCTAGCAACTATTCGGTTCTATTAGCCTGGCTGGCTACCTGAAAAAGGGCGAATTTCTACCCCTGCAGATTAAATACAAAATAATACTGTACCTTGTTTGTTATAGGCTTTTTCTTTTTCTTTGTCGACTCCTGCCACTTGCCCTGATCATCACCTTCAAGCAACGAGTCGATGGCGGCGTTCACATCATTATCACAGTCGTGTAGGGCCACCATCGCATCGTCTGCACTTACACCTGTGAACTGCATCACCTGAAAGAAAATAGAAAATAATAGTGTAAGAACACAGGTCTACTGTATTTACTAAATAATTTGTTTGACAAAAGACAATTCTGGTATGTATAAGTATTCCCCAACTTATGAAAAGGTTCCGTTCCCGAAAACTTTCATAAATTTTGTAGCACTTATTCATGGTTAATCTGAAGCACAAATTACTATTGAGTGAGGTAAGAAACCCTTTGCCTTTCTTCAAAGAAGAATACAAAAAAAAATTGGAATGGATAAGTGTGGAATGAACTTTAAGAGGTAGAGTTCACTCATGCCTTACTCTGGTATAGGACCAGCTTACTACTTGAAGCGAGGAGAAAAGTGTGTAGCAGAGAAGAAACTCTGGAAGAAACTGTGTATGTGCCTGAATGTGTGCAGAAGATTACCAGAGTAACAAAATGTGATGAACACTATTCTTTAGTGGTGTCAAACAGTTATGAGCAAAAATACCACCATTATAGATAATAAATGTCAAAGAATTAACCAAGCAAAGAAATGATCAAGTTATGGAAGAATGTGTTTCTTTGTAAGAGTAACAAACAATTAACCACTGATGACTATGACATTAATGCTCAGTAATATCTAATACCTGTACATAGTAAAAAAAAATTTCATTCATCACAACAATAATGTTACACATCTTTATTAAGATTCCATAGAAGTAAATTTCACCTCATGAAGATCATGTAAGAAAACAAATATAAACAAAAAGTATTTTGTGAAGCAATGCATTAATGATCTTACTTGATTCATTTTTTCCTGAAGCAACTTTTCGGGTTCTGTTCGCGTGTTGTCAATCATCTGGGCAATGCGGAGCTGTTCTGCTGTTGGTGCTATCTTGTGCGGCACTGCCTCCCCACTTTTGTCTTTGTCTGTAGCCTGGCTGTCCATCTTTTGTTGTTGCACAGGTTGCTGTTGCTGTTGTTGCTGTGTGGCGGTGTTGTTGCGGTCACCGCCACCCGCCCGCGGACCTTTGTTGCCCCGGCTGCCTCTGCCCCCGGAGCTCATCTTAACAAGCTAATTTATGTACACTTTGTATATACAAGTGCTGAAAAGACAAAGAAAAAGAGCATTAAGGTAAAACATACTCTTTTTACCTAGAAAATTGCAAGTAAAATACAAATAACTTTACTGGTGAATTGCGATCAAGTATAAATTTCTGTAAAAACCATGGGGGTGTTGGTTATTACAGTACAGAATTTATAAACAACAAAGCAACTTACCACTTATTACAATAACTACTGCTATGTTTCATAGTGAAGCATCATACCTTATTAGTGTGTGCTGTGCTCTCCATTACAGATAAGATGTTTGTGTCAATGAGGGTAGTCAGCTGAGTAGCATACAACATTTCACATTCTTTGCAGACAGTAACATAATTCAATTTGAATAAAAGTAATTTTCACCATTTTTCTTAAAATATGAAGAAAAAAAATGTATGTACAGCATATGTCCTACTTCTCAGTGGTGTTCAATCTATACTTCATTTGGCTTCACACTTTGGTTTTGACAGATACAGGGGAATGAATTCCTTATCATCCTACTCTAACCACCATCCATAAATGCCTAGCTCCTGTTTTGTCCACCATATCTCACTTCCCACTTCCTGTCCTACCTATCATCCTTCACTCCGTACCTCCTAACCTATCACCAACCCTCACAGACCATCTCTTGCTACTCAACCACAACTGCCCAGCTACTGTTCTGTCCACATCTCACGACCCACTTCCTGTCCTGCCTACCATCCTTCATCCCCCTACCCTTCCACCCACCTCCTGCCCTAAACACCACCCCACTGCCCTGTCCAGTCTACTACTCCTAATTCACAACCTACCTGCATACTTTGCCTTAACCAGTACCTTTTTGGGGGCACATTCTATCATAAACACTGATATCTGAAGTTCTATATGAAAAATTTAAAGCACCAATGAGAATGCTGTACAGTAAATAATTGCACAAAAACCATGTTCATTAAGCACCATCTAAGACTAATCTTTAAAATATATTCCCTCCATCAGAGAAGGTATCCCACGCACAACCTCTCATATTCAGCATTACTTACCATTAACTCCTCCCACAATTTTACAATTTATCCCAATCTGCCCTTGCTTGAACCAATGAGCTTATGAAATATTACCATTCATGGTTAACAGGAGTAGTGATTCAACAGAACAATCTCTAAAGTACAAAATGTACCAGATTTGTTTATAAATTTTCTATGAAGTCAGTCTTATAATAATAAACTTATAACACATAAAGGCAAAGTTTATGCAAAATCTAACTGCTTTTCCACCCTGCATTGGGTCCTCTTCTATTAAAATACATCCTTACCACAAAAAAATTCCAATATCAACCCCTAATACTATACTACATGTCACATCCCCCCCCTTAGAAAAACAATCTGTCAATCCTGAAATGGTGGTAGAGTACAACGAAAGCCACACATTCCAAGACAAGACCTCAGCCATGAAAGTTGTGTGGGAGAAGGTGAAGACCGTGAGGTTGTAGCCTCCACCTTTTACCCCTCCTGAGAGGTTGAACCTCTTCGTCCTGAAGAATTTTTTATTTCTTCGGGTAAAGAGGAGGGTACAAAGGTCGTCCGTTGGCCGAGTGGTGGCCTTATGGTTACCTTCGGCGACTGGGGGCAGGCCAAACAACTAAGAAACATCACGTGCATTATCAACATCCCCAACCAAGTGGAGGTAAACATGTGTGATAACGCAGTGTGGGGAGTGATCTCCCACGCCGTTACAACACATGAACCGACAGGAGTTCCAGGAGCTGATCGGCTATGTCTTCATCTTGAAGAAATTGAAAAAACAAGATGAACAATCCACCTCAGCTCTAGAGGGTTTTTTCTACAAGATACCGAAGACGATTACACTGAGATAGGAAACCATCCTAGTTAAGCCGTATATACCAAAACAAACCAGGTGCCACAATTGTCAGCACTATGGCCACGATGAGAAGAAGTGCCAGACTCGTGGAGTCTGCACCACTTGCAGGACAACACACCTCGTGTCAAGCAACAAACAAGAAGTGTGCAGCTTGTGGCAGCCCTCACTCCTCCAACCAGAAGTGTCTCAGGGAGGAGTGTACGGTAGCCAAGATGTGAACCAAGAGGAACGTTAACTACAAAGAGGCTCTCCTTGTAGTTAAAATAAGAAAATGAAGAACAAGAAAACCGGATTACAGAAGAAAAACTAGAAGAAAATGTAAAACAAAACAGACAAGACGAAGAAGAACAAGATATTTTGTTAGGAGGAATAAATGTGGACCGTCCCAAAATACAAAAAGAACATCAAAATAACATGTCTACGGCTGTAATAACTGCAGCAGTTGACGGCCAGCAAAACAAACTAAGAAGAAGAATGCTCAACAATATGTATCACTTTGGAAAACATATAACTATGAGAGACTTTTGCAAACATCAAACACAAATGCCAACTCTTCAGGATGATCACCAATGGAGTTACTCAGAATCTGCACCACTGGTTGTGATGTAGTGCGAGGTTGTGAGATCCACCCAAGACACGTGGCTTTAAAAGAAATGAGCTCTAACCATTTAGATGGCAGGGGTTTCTCCTAGTTTAATAAAATTGTCTGGCATTAACCAGAATAAAATACCTAAGTGTGGAGCTCCCCTCCAAAGGGTTAATTTGCTAGAGCAAGACCAACAGTAAGTCTACTGTATACATTTTGAGAGGTTTTACTTTATCCTCTTCGCCAATGATTGGCTCATTAGCCGCTGTTTAGCTTTCACTGAAATTGATTTTTTATCAGGTTTTATCTGATGATGAAATGCTAATTTCATCCATCATAATTTTATTCTTTCCATTGACATAAAAATGTGAGACACTAAACACATCTGCATTTCCAGTCATAATATTTTGAGTCGGCATCTTCCCACTGCGATCCTGAGAGCGATGATAACTAAAACACTGTAGTTAATTCATTTTTAGTACAAATAGTGAACCATTCAAATAATGTACACAGTACAGCATACTGTATATTGGTTATTGTTTCAGTATCTTTATGTATTGATGGGGTGTCAGACCACAGCTTACATCTCAGAAACAGTCCAGACTTGACTCGACATTAGGGGGGTCAAGTGTAAGGGTAACCCTCGCAGCTACCCAAGGGTTATAAATCAACCAGGCTCCCCTCCACATGTCACACGGCCCCAACAAATATGTAAGACACACAGTGAGCAAAGGAGCCACCTGCAGCCCTCCCCCAATTTACTCAAGGAACCTACAGTACATCCCAGACAAGGCCCAGACCTATCCTCACATTAATCAGGTGAAATGTAACCCTCAAGCCCAAGTCAAGGGGCCACAAATCAACTAGAGCCTCTCATGTCACACGGCCCCACCAACGATGTTAACAGGCAAGCATTCATCTGAAGATTTCTCCAGAATATACAACAACTTAAAGTCTCTGAAAAAGTCCAGACCTGACCCTACATTAGCGAGGGCAAATGTAAGGAGACCCTTCGCCGCCCCCCCGATCAGCTCAACCTGACGGCTCGCCTCCCAATATATAGGACGTCCTAGTCCTCCCTCTGCCCAGAGAGAGACAGAGAGAGAGTGTGTCTTGTAACCAAGAAGGGCCAGCTACCACGTCCCCAGTCCCGCTCGAGAGAAGCCCGCCACTAAGTGTAACGAAGTCTCAGCCGGGTCCATCGACAGAGTGCTGTCAACTCCACGTGTAACAGTAAGTGCTGGCTGTGTAGACTGTAGAAGTGCAGTGATCCCGAACCTCCCCAACGATCGACTTAGTGAAGTGCCCATTCTAATTGTGAGGTTAGGTTATACGAGAATACCATAGTCTATCATAAATTGTGTACGAACCCCCCCATTAATCCCCCCTATTGAACTAGTAAAATAAAGCTGTAACACGCATTGGTGTTTTATATACTACACTTGTACTGTGCCTGTGTTAATATACAGTGTTAACATCACACCCTCGAGACACGCTACCATTTCCTCTCGCTATAATATTCTACTACTATAAACTCCTAGCTTACCTCTTCACGTGAGATTTTGTCTCATTACATTTATAAAGTGACCAGGTTTGGTATGGGAAGCCCTGAATGCCTGTGTCATCACCTCTCCATCTTCTGATACTGCAAAAAACAAGTCTTTGAAAACCTCACCTAACCTACAATATTAAAAAGGTTAAGATTCGGCTTCGAGTTTATTGGTCCCTCATCACCTGAACACCAAAAACACCACCATCACATACTAAACACCAAAAAAAAAAAAAAAGAATAAGGTAATCTTTTTATTTTATAGTTTCACAATTTTTATAGGTTAGGTAAAGTTTTGATTGTTTGGTGTTCTTTTTCGTACTTCAAAGTACTTTAGTACTTCAAAGCGCTGCCCACTTTGAACAACTAATTTTGTTGGTAATATCAGTTAAAATACTTGAAAAATATAAATTTGCAACAGAAATGTAATAGAATACTATATTTTTTTTTTGCTCTTTCTCCCTATAGACTGTAAATAGAAATATGAAGGTCCTTGTTCAACTATAAATGAATCTTTACCCCCCAAAAATAATACAATGTTGTCGTTTAGATTTTATTACTCGGTATCATCCAAAGAACAAATGTGGACAATATGAACAATATACTGTATATACACACGTTCGGGTGCTAGCCATCTGCTGCACTTTACTCAAAATAAGAATACAGCTCCTCCCCCACTTACGACCTCCCCGACTTCCAACCACCCACACTTATGACCTGCCCCAGTCATACAAAAATTTTTTCCAATTACGTATTTTCGAGTCCCAACATCAGTATACTGACAAAATTTTCGTTTGTAATTCACTTTAAAATGGCTGGCAAGCTTAATAGTAAGAGTTTTGTGGTGCTGAGAAGAAAAGGAGACACCCATTTTAGATTTTCTATGTACAGTACTGTATTATCTAAGCATTTTCGACTTACGACCTGGATTTGGGTCCCTAACCCTGTCGTAAGTCGGGTAGGAGCTGTACTTAACTCTATAGCATTTTCAATGGAAATTTATAATTTTCGAGTTT